TGTTGTAGCTATTGATGTCAGCCTTTGATCACTAAGTAATAAGGATATAAAGAAAGTCCCAAAGAACTTTCGGTATTACTAGCTTTGGAGGATGAAGTGGTTTTGTTTATCTGCTTGTTTGTTTGTTTCCTTTATTATATAAACTCAAAATGTACTCAAAAATCTACTTAGTACTGTAGTAGTTTTTGGAAGGGTATGCATGTGTCATACATGTGTGAAATCCTATAGTAATGGCGTGATGTACAAATGAGAAAAGGATGATAATTAAGACAAGCTGTCCAGGCAACTACAGCCTAGTAGCTGTATTCATTTTGCTTGTAGTTGGACCTTGATCTTGGACTATTGCTATGGTAAGATGTGCATATGGCCGACAAAACTTACTGTGAGTTTCATCACATTCTCTGTTTTTCACACTTTCATTTCTTTTAAAAGAAGTTTGCCAAATTATTAATTATGTTTTTTCATAGAGGTGGTTTAAATGCAGTTGAGGATTACAGGGTCTAGGGCTATCACAGGGATTGAGAGACAATTGCAAGGATTGCCCTAAATAGGCAAGTTTTGTGGATTCTGGTGGGATTGGTCCTTGATATTTCAGCAGTTTGGGAAAGCAGTGAAGTCAATGTTGGCAAGCAGCACATTTTTTTCTGCACTTCTCTGTGACAAAAAAATGGTCATGATTGAGGAAGCTCTGGCTGAACAGGACAGCTTGAATCTGGGAAATTTATGTTCTCAGGACATTTGGCTGTTTGTCCTGTTCAGATACAGGCTTTGAAATGCACTGGTTGTGCATTTCATGGGTTTCACTTTTTCCAGAAGAAATTTTATTTAGAAAATAGGTGTTTATAAAAATAAGTTTCACATCTTTTACTTAGGAGATTGCATGGGTTTAGATTTTTTTGAAGTGTGGTCCTTGGAGTTCCTACAGCCATGCTGTGCTGATGTCTTTCATGGAAGTGTTGCTCTCTGTAGTTGTACAGTCTGTATGTTTATGGTAAATGTGTTTTGGGAGAAAATAAAGGTAAATCAAGAATGTTTTATGTAGATTCCTTAGACTACTTTAAACACCATGAATGTCAAAGACTAGTACAAGTGCTTTGTTCTAGGAAAATTAAATATGTTGGATAAGAAAAATGAACTCTAGGCAGCAGTAATTAAAATAATATCTTGACCTCAATAGCTGATATTTTAAAAGATCGTTTCCCTTTTTTGGTATTGTATTGTTTTCCCAGAACCATCTTGCAATGTTTTTTTTTAACTCAGTTGAACTGCTCAAATTAACCTCTCTGGTCAAAACTGAAACATGCTAGGTTCTGTCTGAGCATAAGGAAGCACTTCTTTACTGTGAGGGTGACTGAGCACAGGCAGTGGTTATGCAAGGAGTTGTGGAGTCTCCTGCCATAGAGAGGCCCTTTCTGTTTTTACCTGTGATGTTTGTCACTGACTAGCAGCAACATGAAATGAGCGGTTTTGACTTTTGCTATCTGATAATTTTCAAATGGCAGGAAAGGAATGCTTTGAACAGCAAAATGAAATATTTCAGGGTGTACTGAAGCAGTTTTTAAGCCTTGAGTGTATGTCCTTTGTTAAACCCAAGGGCTAGTTTGAAACAAGTTTGAACTGAGTTTCTTTGAGTGCAGTTAAAACTTGAGTATTTCATGTCTTCAGAGGGCCTGAATTGTAGCAGAACTCACACATGAAGAGTGATAAATATTAAATAGACAAAGTTAGGAAACACAGAGATGATGTAACTTTTAAGTCTGCCTCTGTAGAGCTGGCTGTATTTTGTTTACTGCTGTCAGTCCTCTAGCAGCATTTAGGGTGTGAGTACATTGAATTAGGGGAAAATCAGTTTAGAGGCTTTACATTCCAATTTTATATTACCGAAGAAGATTGAAACTTGAATGCACCAATTAAATCTTATCAAAATTTTTAATGTAGATTGTTTTAGTAGTTGTGCATTAAGGTTTTGTGTTTTGTGTGGTGACCTCTGACTAGAGAAGAATAGGTAAGTGATGTTATTTAGGCAAGAATGAAGAGGTTATGGTACAGCTTGTGTGGTGTGAACTAAGTATCTTAATTACAATATGTATAGGTAATTCCTTTAGAAAACATGCAGGAGGAACAACTGCTCAAGCTTTTGCCTTAGAAAATGTTCATATTTAAGCTTTAATGGTGATACTCTGGTATCTCACTGTTCTGCAGTAAAAAAACCCCCCACATTTACATACAAAGGGCTGTGTTGGGTGATAAAGATGATAAACTTGGATTACAGTGGTGTGCTTTAATTCCACACTAGTTCCTCACTATACTTGAAATAATGTCCATGCTTTTCCCCAAGCAATCTGTGCAGTTGAATAACTTGTGTTCTGTGTGATAGCTTCAGTTCTTGTTTGTCCCTTGTCCATAGCTTCTACCAGTTGCAGAAATTTTATTTCCGATTGCATCTGTGCTCATACCTTCATACCTCATTTATTCCCATGCATTAAGTGCTTCCAAATATAATTAAAATTTCTATTTGAGATCTCTCATGTCCCTGTTTTGAGTTTTATTGCTGCAGTTGGATTATGTTCATTCTCTGGAAGAGGGAAGACCATGTAGTAAATAATTCAGTTCATTCAGAAGTTTCTGTTAGGAGTGTAGTGGTTGGCACAGGTAAAGGTCATGGTTTCACACATGAGAAATCCAAATCATGTGAGAACAAACAGCTGAAAAATGGTAGGTTGGTATATTCATATGCAGCAGTCAAAAAAGGTGTAACTCCTGTTTTGGAGTATTTAGCAATAAATATGGCAATATTTACCTAAATGTCAAACAAAGCGCTCAGAGTTGCTGAAGGAAATGCCAATTTTCAGTTGTCTGTGTAGATTAAGATGATGTATCTATGTGGTGGGTTGGCCTTGGCCAGCAATTAAGCACCCTTCAACCACTTGCTCACTTTCTCCTGCAGTAGGGTGAGAGAAAGAATGGGAATAGCAAGAGCTAGAAAAAGCTTGTAGATTAAGATGAAGGCAGTTGAGGAAATAAAGGGGGAAGTTAGAAAAAGATAAAAAACCCCCCAAAACCAAATTAAAAAAAAAAAAAACAAAACATAACAAACCCAAACCAACCAAATTGCCAACCAACACAAAGCCCAACTAAGTGATGCAAAAGTACATGTTTGCCGTCACTCACAGAGGTGCAGTCTGGTGCTCAGTCTCTGAGCCAAGAACACTGCCTTGGAAGAACTACCCCCAATTTTATATTGCTGAGCATGATGGTTTATGGCTTGGAATATCCCTTTGTGTTAGCTCCAGCCTTCCTCCCACCCTCAGCCTACCCACTGTGGGTGCAAAGTGAGAAACAGAGAAGGCCTTCATACTGTGCAGCACTGTTCAGCAATAGCTTAAGCAGTGATGTTAGCAGCATTGTTTTAGTCACAAATTTGAAACACAGCACCATATGGGCTTTTAGGAAGGAAGTTAACTCTATCCCAGCCAGATGCAGTGCAACCTACGTAGCATCCAACTGGCTGTGATGGAGCTGTGAACTCTGTGTCCTCAGACAATTAATTCAGGCTTCTCTGGAGCAGAAGTGCAGCAGTGTGGCTGTGCTCTGTCAGGACTCTGCTCCTGAAAGGAGTGCATCTACTTTGTGCTGGCACATGCCAAGTGACTGACCCCTGGATGTCCATCCCAGCAGTGTGTTCCTGATTAAATGTTGACCAAAGCATAATAAAAATACCTTGTCTTATATGAGCAAATCTTGATTGATTTCTGGATTTTTTTGAGAGTTGAGTCCTTCTCCTTCTCTTCCCATTAGGAGTCAAAAGGATTCATTATCATTTGTGTTCTATGAGTTCAAGTGTAGTATGAGGAAATGTCAGTATTGCCATCCCTGTTTTGTTCTCTTGTCCTACCACTTTTCTTTCCACTCATAAATTAGTAAATAGGTTTTGATAGGGTCATACCCTTTTGTCCCTAGGCTTGCTAGCTGCCATTTAACATAAGTGACAAGTTTTCACCCATGAATTTTACAAGCTTGAGTGTTTATTTGCAATGTCCTTTCAGTCAGATTCGAGGAGGTTGTTAGAGATCTAATAAGGCTGTGCTGCATTCACAGCTGAATGAGTCCATCTGCGCCTTGCAGAGAGGGCTGTGGGCTGCCATGAGGCACAGTGCTGCTTACATAAGGAGGGAATGGCTGGGAGTGCTCTAATTCTGTCTTACTCCTTCTACATTGAGTTGTCATCTGTGGCTTCTAGCAGAGAGCACCTGCTTGCTGACTCAACTCCTGAGGTCAAGTGTTGGTGAAGGCTGTATCACAGCTTAGTTCAGCCAAAGTGATTATTGCTGCTCTGTGAGAGACAATAAGTTCAGGAAAGACATTACAAATTGTAACATTAGGAGTATTCAAGTAAGACCATCTTTAAACTGAAAGTTTGTTATCATTGATAGGTATTTCGCAAATCTGATTCTTCTATTTTTGGCACTTTGGACAAACTGTAAGAATATAGCCAAAAATATGTTTGAAAGTGCATGTTGACAAAGATGTGTTTGATGGTGCATAATGAGCTAACTGCTCCCTGTTTAGGTTAATTGTATTGATACTTGACTGTCTCTCCCAAGCTGTGAAGGAATAAGGTTGATTTATGTTGCAGCTAGACTAAGATGCAAATTGAAAAAGAAAATAGAAAGTGACAGTAGCTTCTGCACTGTTTCTATGCAGCTAATACTAATAAATCAAATGTTTGGAACTTTCCTTTTGTTCAGCAAGGAACTTTATAGTTTGTTGTAGTGTGCAGACCTGAAAGAATTGCTTCTTTTTCATGAGGTTTGTTACTTGGATAGTCATTTTCTGTTTTCTCTCTCTGTGATTGTTTATGGATATTAGTAAGAGGTTGCTCTCTAATAAGAGCATGTCAGTTTTTCTTCGTGATTGTGATTGTGTTGATGTTATATACTACATCATCAGTTGATGTCTTCTTGAACTGGAACCTCAGACTTTTAATTCAGTGTTTTTGGCTTGAATGGCATTTTGAATTGCATTAATTAATTTAAAAAGCAGACTTGTGTTTTCATCCGCCAGAGTATACCTGACAATAAATAGATTGCTTAATTTGTGTTTCTAGTACTTATATTTTTCTGAGACCGTAAGTATCATATTGGCTAATAATGAGATTCTTGCTAATATGATAAGTGATGAATGTGTCCATCAAATGTTGTGTCATTATGTTGGTTTTTTGATTTTTTTTTTCACTTGGGTACCCAGGGAATGTTTAGAATTTTTGCAATTTTTTTTTAAGTGATAAATTTCTCAGTGCATTTAAAAATACAGGTTCATGCCCCGCTGCCAGCTTCTTGAACTTGCTTTTGTCTGCGTGTTTTTTTGGCATTCAAAAGTATTGGTCTTTAAGATAGGTTCAGTATTTTGCAGCATTTGGGCTTGTTTGATGATCCAAGCTGATGCACCAAAAGCATTTTCTCCCTCTGATATAGGAAAGATTATTTTATTGTTGATTTATCTGAAATGCAGTAGTATAGGTTATTACTTTGACTTGTTATGATAGAGGTATCAGTGTAAATAAAGTTTTCATTGTGATACTGATTCTTCTAGCAAACAGATTGTGTTGAATGGTTATATCATTTTTGAAACTGTTTTTTTTTATAACATTGAAATGAAAACTGACATGAGTTGTACTCCATGAGACTGTGACACCTGCCCAAAAAGTCAAAATATGGCTCACTCTCTTGTTATTTCTTTAATTGACAGTGTCTTTCCTTTTTTTACTGTCCTCCTAATTCTAAACACAGTGTAACAATTTAGGCCTTTCTGTTACCCAGTTGTTTGATTTCAGGAGGGATATTTTTCTTAATGCTCTCCTTGTTAATAGAAGAGTAAGCTATAAAGTCACTTCCTACTTCTTTAATAAAAAGGAGTTGTACAACTCTCTGAAATATCCAGTATTTAGTAGGTGATAGAGGACCAGACTGTTTCAGTGACAATACAAAGGAAAAAAGACGTTATAGTCTCATCTCTCTCATAGGCTACTTCAGACATAGTGTTAATGAATAAATGAGTTTGTGTTTTAATTTAAACCTGTATTAGATAGCAGTCCTGCCCTTTGAGTAAAAGTGAAGCAATTGAACTTTCAGAATTGCCGTGCCTTGTCCTTAAGGATTTCTGCACTAAGAGTCTTCTGCCAAGAGAAGTTGGACTTTGCAGTCCAGTTGGTGATTCTAGAGTCCAGTCCTGATTCCCCAATGTCTTTCCTTTGCATTTTAGCAATATGAAAGACAAAAAAAAAAGAAGTACCAAAAAAGCCATGTAAGATTTGGCTTTGGAAAGAGTTACAAAAATTTTCTTTGAAAGATTCATGCTTAAAATGTTACAAATGTAAGCAGTCCATTTTCTATATGGGTGCCTTCTATTTCTTCTTCCATGGGATCTGAATGCCTTTGGGAAAGTGAAACAGCTTGGAGGGAGCTCAGGGTTTATGATCATCCATGAACTGATCTTGAAAACTTCGTGATACTTCGACATGGGATGTGATTTATTCAACTCCTCATTTTTTGAAGTTCTGGCTGTTTTTCTGTTCTTTTCCATGAAATATTTTAAGATTATGCATTTGTTGACTCTGTTTATTTTAGCAGTGGTCATTCCTGCCTTTTTACAGAAAAGCTGAAGTACTTTGAGGTACTGCATCAGGTAGTTTGATTTCATAGAATGATAGTGATCAAATTCTGCTGAAATATTACAAGGTACTTAATTTTTTGTTCTATAGTTAAACTCCTTTTTAAATTGAAGAAGGAAATTCACAGCCTTTGGATTAATCAGTATTGGTCAATATAGATATGATACACATTTTAATAAAAATGATACATAGCTATATTATTGACCGAAGACCGATGCCACTTGGCTGTATTATTTAGAAACTAGCAAACATGTTGGGTTTTTGTTTCAAAGTGTAGAGAACTTAGCACTTTTGATGATGTCACTGCTATATTTTTGCTACTTCAATTGCTTCCACATTGTTTTTGCATATTGCTCAGTGCCTTTGATCTCAAGAGTGAATGTTTAAAGATAATAATCTCTTTGGCTCAAGGAGGAGGTTTGAAGGCCTTTGGAAAGTCATGGATTGGATCATTTTTCAGATGTCAGTTTAAAGTGAGAGGTCAGGCCTACTTGGGGTTGAACAATTACTCCTTTTTCCAGGGGAAAGGAGAGCCTTGTGCTTTAATGTTTTCATATAGCCCAAGTATAGGAGTAGATTTTTCTTTCACTTTTCTTGTGATGCTGTTATTTACAGAAACTGATTTTGTGTCCTTTTTTCTACTCAGGCATATTTATCACAAGATTGCTTAAAGGATTGTATCTTGTAATTAAAGCTGTGGTTTTCAGCTTTTGAAGAAATGTGGCCATTTCAAGGTTTTTATTGATAGTGTCTGCATACTATGAATTTATTAAAGGATGCAGTAAGTGTACGTTTACACTTGATAAAGATTAGTGATATTTGCGTCTTTCTGCTACAGAAAAATATTTGATAACTAAACTTTACAAAGCAAAATTGAATTGGGTCACTGAGTCCAGGAATGGGAAGTGCAAGTCCCTAGGACGTTGTTTTTTGTTGTGATTTCTTGCTTTTGTTGTGATTTCATACGGAAATGTTTCCTGCAGTTTCCTCAACTACAAGCTTTTAAAGTTTGTTTATGAGAATTTTAGCAGGGAAAAAAATGATCAGGACATAAGTTACTGATATTTTCTTTCCCCTTGTAAATGGTGTGGTGAATGAGAGAGGACTTTGAAGTGGTGCAGTAGAGTGGAAATACTCTATGGACTATATAATCTTCAATTTCCTCTGAGGAAATGTAAACAGGATGCTGTAAACTTCTACTTGTGTTGTTGTTACTTTCTATGCTTAGTTCTTACATACATGGAGAAAAGTACTGGCTTAAAGAGAAACATCAGAAACACTGCATATCTAGATAACAAAATCAATGTTCTCTTCTTTTTGTCTTCTGTTGTTGATTCAGTTTTATTTGTGGCAGTTTGAAACTGAATTCTATAGATTTTTATTTTTCTTTCATGACCCTAACCTGCAGCACAAGCTGACCCCTCCTACCAGTGTCTTTTCTTAAAGTTTTTCTTAAATACAGATAACTTCCTTAGTAATGGAGTATCTTCTTAGATGTAAAATGTGTTTAACTTCCTCAGATTAATATTTCCCTTATGTCATAAAGTATTTACAGGATTGACTTCACTCATTTGAGCAGAAGGATTTAGAAGCTTGTGATGTGGTGTTTCAAAACTTACATGACTGTAGGAGTTCAAAAGAAAATGGGCTCAGCTGTATGGGCTTAGACTGTGTCTATGTAAAGAAAATATATATCTTTCCATTGATTGAACATGTACGCACTTAGACTTGTAGTTTATTGCATCTCTCTTGACTTTTTGAAACATTGGTGTTGGTTTTACAGCTCTAAAGGTTTTAAAATAGGTTTTAATAAGGTTTTTATAATGCCAGAAGGAGGAGAAAGAAAATACATCTAAATTTTTCTTAGGGAAAGAGAGAAAGAGAAGGGAGGGAGGGCAGAAAACCTGTGTAGTCAGAATTGCTGACTGTGTAATTTCAAAAAAACATTTTTAGAAACATGTGATGTAATATTATGAAAAGTAACCGCTGGCAGTATCTTACTCATACGTAGTGGTTTTTGCAGTGTTTCATTTTGTTTGAGACTTGATGGGTGTTTATGAAGTACAGAAAGAATTTATTCCAAATTACTGGGAAAAGGTGATTATTTATGTCTGAAGTGACTGGCAGTTTGAGGTATGGATATATTTGATTGATCCAGTGTCAATAGAAGCAGTAATATTTATGCCTGAAGTCTTCAAGATCCCTTGAAGTTACACTGTTGGATACATCAAAAATCTTAGGGGAATTGGAATAGTTGCTGCTTCAAATTTTTTTACAATAAATTATAAGTAGATAAAATGTGACTTCATACAAATGTTTTGTTGCTTGTTTTGTAGATGGTGTTCTGACACCGAATACAGAGAACGGTAATTTTCCCTACCAAGTACCCAACTTCCATAAGTGCGAGATTTGTTTGCTGTCTTTTCCAAGAGAGACCCAGTTCCAGCGCCATATGAGGGATCATGAGCAAAATGACAAGGTATGAATTATGCTCGATATAACCGGCATACATTGATATTTTCGTGTACTGTCAAGTGAAGCTAACACAAGACATCTTTTCTATTTCTTTTCAGTCCCACCACTAATAATTATTACTTGGGGACCTCAGAGTTTTGTGACATATCACTTTCATGTATTTTCTTGTTTCCTTTGAGATAGGATCTTCCTTTGATGCCTTTTAATTAGATTGTTTTTTCCAGATCAGTAATTTTTAATTTTAGCCATTTTCTTTGATTTATAAAATACCCAGGTGGATGACAAAATGTATGAGTTTTTTTTCAGTAGAGTTTACAAAGTGATTCTATGCATTAGCAATAAAAAGAAAATAATGCTTGTATTTTTAACAGGACCCTACTAATACACTAATTTAGTATGTATGTATTAGTCGGTGGATTAATGTCATCACTTTAGCTGTTTACAAATCAAATTTGGGAAAGAATGAGAAGAATACCAATATGGATTAACACTGGACTGGCTCTTTAAATGAAGCTTTTGCTACAAATTGCCTAATATTAACCATTCAATTTATTTCCCTCGCTTTCTAGTTCACAAAGCTAAAACTGCTTCCATGTGATGTGAAAATAATTGTATTACTTTTTGAGGTAGCCCTAAGTACAGATTAACGTGCCCTAAACGTAGCACTTGGAGATGGTTGACATGTACAAAGAACAACTTACACAAGTTTCAAAGTTGACAAAGTTAAACCCATACTGTTGTACACTTACGCAAGTGCCTTTGATCCAAAAGTGAAAGCGCTGTCAAAGAATGAAAACTGGTTTTGCAGATACCAAGTGAAGAGTAGTCAGGCCTAGTATAAACTAAGTGTTTTGCTGTTTTAATTATTAGTTTTACTTCAGGAGATTTCATGGAACCTCAGGATATGCTGTGTTGAAAGGACCCACAAGGATCATCAAGACCAACCCCTGGCCCTGTGCAGGACACCCCAAGAGTCACACCATGTGCCTGAGAGCATTGTCCTGCTTGAACTCTGTCAGGCTGGTGCTGTGACCACTTCCCTGGGGAACCTGTTCCAGTGCCCAACCACTCTGGGTGAATCATGATCACAGTTAAAATAGGAAAACGTATTTCTGTCTCCTGCTCATTCCTCTCTCCTATGAAACTTCAGTCTTTCCAGACAGTCTGAGTTTTGAGTCTCTGGTTTCCTTAGTTCCCCTGTTTCCCTTTGTGCTCTTGTAATGTTGTATTTGTATTTTCTGCAGTGAGATGCAAAGAAGATAAAATAATTAATATTGTTATTATTAAGCATCATTATCATATGTAGGTACTTGAATTGGTCTTTTTTTGATTTAATATTTTGATTTGTATGCTTATATGTATCACTCAGGGTATATGTAGCTTATGGGAAGACTGAATTTTGTCTTTATTTTTTTCTGAATTTTGTCTTTATTTTTTTCTGAATTTTGTCTTTATTTTTGTGATTTTAACAAACAGCCTCACCGGTGTGACCAGTGTCCGATGTCATTTAATGTTGAATTCAACTTGACACTTCACAAATGTACTCACAATGGCGAAGATCCTACGTGTCCTGTGTGCAACAAGAAGTTCTCCAGAGTAGCCAGTCTGAAAGCACATATAATGCTACATGAGAAAGAGGAGGTAATTCATTAAACCTTCTAACTTAATTTTGAAAAGACATGTCATAGTGGTTGTATTTAATTCTTTACCTGTATGCGTTAGATTTTTTGTAAATTTAGGTTTTGAATAAACAACTTTGTTCTGAAGAATCACAAAACTTTACTTAGGGAGTCTGTTTTAATATTACAGAAATTAATAAGTGTTGCCATAAAGTGTCTTTATGAACAAAAGAAACTTGAGTATGTTTGATAGATACCATATCTATATTATATTATACCATATCTATATTATACTATATATAAACATTAACTGATTAGTTATTTGCACATACTTTTATTTTGAAGATATTTCTGTGACTTCATCCACATTGATAAGCCCACACATAAGAAATGATGTGTGATCATGTTTGATGGCAGATGTCATGGTGAGGCACTCTTACCATTCATAGAAATAGATGAAACTGTTCCCTTATCTACAGATCCCACCTCTGTTTTTGCGTGGTTGTTTGTTTTGCTTGAGAGTACTTGTTCCTTCCCCTATCAAAATTTCATTTTTCATTTTGATAGTGTTGGTTAAATTCTTAGTATTTAATATATAGTGATGTATTTTGCACACTTTATAGTCTTTACTGCATTACAATTGCCAGAGTTGAATGCACTGCCCAAAATACCAAGTTTTTGATGATGTAATTGCCTCTACCTCCTGTTAAGGCTTTTCTAAAATTGCACTTTGTATTGGATAATTGGAGCTGAATCAGGAATGAACTTTTATTGTCCGACTTCTGATGACAAATGTAACAGTGGTATGTTTGTCCATGCCAGTTACTGACAGCTTAGAGCAGTTTTGACCTGTGAGTTGGGGATAGTAGGCCTGTGTGCACTTCTCCCTCAATCAGATGCAGGGCATGCCATCTGTAGAGATTGTATTCCTTCTTTAATCATTCTAGCTCGTGTTTTGTCATATACACAGTCAAGTAGGCAGCCAAGTTAAGTGGACTAGAGTCCAATTTTGCTGTATATTAAAGTATCTATAATGTTAAATGGCTTAATTGGTATTATTAAGGAAACTTGATTTATGAATTGCTTGAAACATCAGAATGAAGAAACTAAGTATCAAGAAAGACTCCTGAGGGTGCTATTTGGTATTTATTTCTTCCACTAAGTGATTTTTCATGCACTTCAGCAGTCCTGATTTTGTTGCTTTGGTGCAGATGTCAGAAGAATAGGCTGTGTGCTGCCTTCCAATATAAAATTCCACCTCTAGCTTGAAAATTAAATTTATAAAAATATGAACATATTTCAATTGCTAATGAATGTGTTTAATATAATACCCAATAGTTTTGTGATAAAACAGAGATGAATGTAATAATTAAGTCACATAAAACTGCAGGAATAACTTTCACAGTAATTATGCACAGGACCTGGAAGGAGCTGGAATTTGAACTTGAAACAGAGGGTATTGGTGATATGGCACTAGCTGTCATTGAGGGGTTTTCTACAATGTGCAGGTTAACAAGTATCGGTGGAATAGGTTCTCTCTCCTGTCCCCTCTTTGTCCTTTTGCTGTTAGAAGGGTTAAAATTGGAAATCAGAGCAAAGGTGCATATGGGGAGATGTACATTAAGGGACATGCATAGAGGTTACGAAGATTGCTTCACAAAATGAAATTTGGGGAACTTTACCCTTGTGTTGTGCTGCATCAGGCAGCTTTAGCTACAGACAAATGCAGATGGGAAAGAGCAGAAGAGCTCCAGTGAGATTTGGGAGAGTGGGTCTGTCTGTGAAACTTAGATTTTTGTGATTGATTGCTCCATGTGAGAGGTTCTGGAAGGAATTTTCTGGGCTGTTGATACTGAGCTTGCAAAAGACTATTTTCTCCTTGCATTCTTCGGTGATTTATATGTGGTAAACTGGTGTGAGGGAAAAGCCTTCATATTTGAAATTCCTCACTAATACGGGATAGCTTTCTCTTGAGAAGTCATAAAGAATATATCTTGTTTAAATATGACCCATCTTCTTAATGTTTGTTGATCTTGTCCATTTCCTCAGTGGAAATGCACGATGGTTTTCATTGTTACATTTTGCCCTGGCAAGATAGAAATGGTGAATAAAAAACTGAAACACAAATTATTTATTGCATTAGAACTCCTGCTATGTCTTCTTTTTTCATGAACATGAGTGGCTTTTGGGCTTTAATAACAACTTAATATGTTGAAAAAGTTAAAAGTGATATTTGTTGGATATAAAATGAAAATTCCTTCATTAAAAGATCTTAATTGGTTTGGGGTTTTTTGTTTTACTTTATGTGATGTTGGAGTTTTGTTTTTTGTTTTTTTTAAGAAGTATTCACTGTATTTGATTTGTACTGTCTAATAATTTGTGAGCAATGATCTTTTGAAAAAGTGCAGATTAAAATCCTTTACAGATGCAGGGAGTCATAGATACAAAACAGGTGAGGATCATGAGTTCCAAAGTGTTCTTCAGCTGTTGCATGTAGTAGGATAGGGAGAGCTAAAACAGGCAGAATCCAATGAGTAGAGCTTTAAAATTTTTTTCTGAGTTTGGGAATTTTGTGTATGATCAGCTTCTTGTGTTTAGTGTTAAAATGTGGGTTTAACCATAGTGAGGTTACAGTGCTCAACTACTTGTTCTGTGCATGGTGGTGATTTCTTTGTTTGCTTGAGGAGCAAAAAAATACATCTGGTATTGCCTGTTGCAGAGTCTGTTTGGTGTGATATATAGGTGGGTTTTTTGTAGTGTTTCTGCTTTACTGTGATCTTGCTTTCCTACAGCAATTTTCACAGTACTGAATAGAATAATGAAGACTTTAATTGTCTCAAATAACTTCATCTTAGGCTATTCTTTTGTTTGTAGAAGTTGCTTAATGGAATATGTGTATTTGCAACTTAACATGATACATATGCATGTCTGAAAAATGCTGAGAAGCAATGCAAAATCTCTCTGTTTTGAGATTCATGAGCTTGGCATAGTAATTGTAGGTTTCCCTTCATAAAATTTCCCCCCACTTTTAGAAATCTAAAATCATAAACTAAATTTGTTGTGTAAGAACAGTAGATGTCCATAAGAAGTATTCAGATTTGACTGTATCTCCTAGGAAAAAAAAAAGTATTAGTTATTTATTGTTTACTCTGTAACTTGAATGCAGTAAGAATGTCATCTAGGTTAGATTAAACAAACAATTTTTGAGTTGGTAATCAATTTCACTAAAGCACTTCAGCTTTTTAAGCTTTTGTCTGGAAACGTGATTCTGCAGAGTTTTTTTTTCAGACTTAAAGAACAAATTTATTGTCAAAACAGGTCAGAAATAACGTTGCCTATCTGTGTTCCTCTTGATTAAAACATTCTTGTCAATATCCTTCTTGAAATGAACATAGTTGTTTTCTGTTGTTTGTTTTTACTTTTCTTGTTGATCATTATGAGGGGGGGCGGAGGAAAAGAAACATTTCAACTTGCAGTCATAATCACAATTATTGAAAACTGAGCTGATAAAAAAACCTGTCTAAAATTAATGGGTTGAAGAGGTATCTGTTAGAAACATTGTGTCCCTCTTTATTTCTGTCATCTTCACTGTCAAGAAAGCTTAAGAAAAGTCAGTGGTAACTGTGGTGGGAATGCTGTTTAAAAGTGACATTCAATATAATTTTGACCTGTTAAAGTGTGAAATCCTTGAATCCTCAGTTATAATGATTTTGGTTAGAACGTAATTATTTGTTCCAGATGTTTCTGTAGACCATGGTGAGCCTCTGTGTGTCTTGAACCAGCCCACCAAGGAAATAGAGAGTGGTGAGGATGGTACTGAACTACCTGTTTCTGCTGCCATATGAAGTTTCTCAGAACTCAATTCTAATGGAGTTTCTTAAAATATAAATATTAATATAATCTTGCAGTGATTATTGTACATGATTTATACCACAGGGCTCATAAAGTCTTCTTGCTTGTATACTTCTCTTGCTGCTTGCTTCCATCTGCCAGTGTCCACGGAAGGGTAAGTTAATCTACTTGAACAAAGCTTGTGCAGTGCTGGTTTGAAAAATCAGTCTCTATTATCTCTTTCAGAATCTTATCTGTTCGGAGTGTGGAGATGAATTCACTTTACAGAGTCAGCTGTCCATACACATGGAAGAACATCGTCAAGAACTGGCAGGCAGTAGGACTCACAGCTGCAATTCTTGCAAAAAAGAATTTGAAACTTCCTCACAGCTAAAGGAGCATATGAAAACTCACTATAAAATAAGGTGACAATCATGGGATTATAACAAAATGAGCAGATGTTACTTTATGGTGATAGCTGGGAAAAGCAGGAGTAATATTTCCAGTCAGCAAAGTACCATGATTTATGCAGATCATTTCTTTTCTTTGGTATGCTGTTCTAAAATGACACTTTCTTTATAAAACATTTCTTAAGTGGGTGGTTATTTTTGGAGGCCTTTTTTAGCCCTGTTTTTGTATTTAGGCACACATACTAAGCATAGTTCATCTGCCAGCTATTTGTAAACATGTGTTAAGTTTCTCTGATGCAAAGTGATTTTTCAAGTGTGTTTATGATTTTAAACACGAAGCAAACGTATATTAATTTTACATGGCATTTATTATAATGACAAAAGTTTTAATGCTTTCATTCTGCAAAGATGCTACTTGTTCTTTGCAGTTTGATCATCTTTTCCCATTACACCTCCCATAAGTTTCTTGTAAATCTGAAAAAGCACAAAATGAAGGGGTGAAGAAAAGAGGTCTGGTAAATGCTGTTCTTATTTTTGCTGAATATTTGTTCTGTCTTTTCTTTCAGCTGTCTAGTTTAACTTTACTTTTAGGAAGGTGAGAACTACTTTAAGTTAGAATGAAGATCTTGGTTTACTTTATATATTAAAAAAGCCTAAAGTCTTGACAGCTGATCTCTCATTTAATTTTCACTGTTTCTATAGAAAACAGATGAGGAAAATTACATATTCAAAACAAAAAAATCCTGTCTATTCCCATTTCTTCTTATTAGAAGTTAATACAGATTCTAAGATCTTAATAGTTGTATTGCAGGAGGTTTAAACAAGTGTTCTAAATTTCAATCTGGAAACAGAAATTTAAAGGTTTAAAGTATCAAGGTAGGTTTTTGTTGAGTTATTAAATATATTACCTATTAAAACCATTGTTCTTGTGTACAACTGTTTAGAGGTGTTAGGATGAATAAACTAGTTAGTTTGATTTCTAGTGAAATGAATTTTGGGAATTTATATTCTCTGTTTCTGTGGTTCTTTGGAGAGTGTGATTGCCAATGGTGAATATTCGAGTTGTTAAATTCTTAACTTGCTCTTACTAGCCTTCAGCAAGTGCATTTGTACTCCAGTGTATGAGATTTGCCTATTCTACTTCAGAATGGAGGACTTGGCTATGGTCAGGAAAAAGAAATAGAGTTGCACAGAGTTGAAGGTTCCCACCAAAATGCTTGTGAGGTCACTGTAGGCAGAATTTACCCTAAAAATGTCTGAAGAGAGCCTCTAAGATGTAGCAGATCTTTACTGCAAAATAACAAAAAGTCTTGGTGCATGGTGGTACTGAGAAAAGAGCTGTTGGTGGTGTTCTTTCAGTGTCATTATGGAGTTTCATTGTTGCACCTGATACTGTGTTGCCATCAAGTTACCACTATGTTAAAAATGATGGGGTAAAAGAGGCTTCTTCAAAATAAAGTTTCATATTAAAATTATTTCTTTTCTTTTCTTTTTTTTTTTAATCACAGGGTGTCAAATACCAGATCTTACAACAGAAACATTGATAGAAGTGGGTTTACCTATTCCTGTCCTCACTGTGGGAAGACGTTCCAGAAACCGAGTCAGTTAACACGACATGTTAGAATACACACAGGTAAGGCTGTGGAAGTACTTATTTTAATTTGTTTTCATTGTACACAAAACAGTTAACCTCCGAAATGTTGTGTATTTTTTCTCCCTGCTGGGACCTGAAATATTATTAATACATTTTGCTTATTAGCTACAGTTACCTATACATTTAAAATAAACTTAATGTAATTCATTTGCTTAGGAAATTTATATGCTTTTAAAATTTGCAGATTTACATGATTAGAAGCAGTTAAAAAATGAGAAAAAAATCTATACATTTCATTTGGTACCAAATATCAGTTTTGGTACTTAGAGTTTCAATAGGCCATAAAATCAGAATCCCTTGATAAGGGCCAATCATCTGCTTTAAATTAGATCTTATGTACTCTAGAGAGCAGGTTCTAAAATCTACAGTTAAAAAAGAGCACAAGTACATGAGAATGAATTATATTAATAAAGTAGTAGTCTTGCATTTTTTAAAATTGATTTCTTTAAACTTAAGAAGTGATCTTATGAGGTGATAAGCCTAGTAATAATTGAAGAAGTGCAAGTGATTGTTCAAATTTGCAGAATGAGTAGGAAATGTTTTTTGCTACATTTCTGTCATAAATATTTGCATGTTTAAACTGTAAGTAATTGAAATAATTGAAAAATGACAAGCATGAAATAATATAAAGTTCCAAAGTGTACAAATTACTGTAATAGTTCTTATACTTTTGCCAGGTATACATTATTGTAGCAGGAGTTTAGCTTTAAACAAAGTCTTCATCGAAGATATTCTGGTGATGTTCAATATGTATTTTTCATACATACTGAATAAATTGCCATTTGTCTATTTTTTAGCTAATTTAGGTTTTCATTTGTGTAAGTGTGCAATTCTGTTTGTAATATCAGTCAGTCTAATATCACTGTTCAGACAGTGATGTGATGAGTTGCCCTTTACAAGAATGGCCTCTTTTACAAAGAAATAAAAAGATCATTGTGTGACACTTTCTTAAGAATCTTTTGAAGTTTTACAGATCTAGTTATAGAAAAGTAACACAAGAGGTCACCCTTGTACCTGCTTTAAAACAATTCCTTGAAAGTAATATAAAAAAAAAAGTCAGTGAAAATTCACTTCAGTATTTTAGATTCTTGACTCTATTTAATTAATTAGCTTAGTCTAGTCAGAATAAAGAAACAAGATTATAGTTGGTTATGGATGCATTTTTAAAGCTTCAAAAAGTTAATGGGCTTTTTTTTTTGAAGACTGAAAGACATTTGTCTGTTGGGAAACCAGAAACAGAAAGTGCAGTCCCAGTCTGCACATGATGGGAGGTCATTTCAACTTCCAATTAGCTTGCAAATATTCATTTAATTTGTGGTGTATGTTAGTACTCTAAATCTGCAGACAGTCTAGCTGCCATTCGGCTGCTTGAGGTACTGTAGATATGTAGAAAAGAACAACTCTGTTTTAAAGGATTTAGAATACCCAAGTCTTTCGGTGTTAAAATAGCAGATCTATTGGGAGGCATTACATTAGTCTCTTAATTGCAGTACTTTTTTTGTTCTAGCTAGACATTTCAAGCACTTACACCCTTCTGGGAAAAAAATCAAGTCTCAGGGGCTGCAATTCCCACATTAATAATTGAGTAATGAACCCCTCATCCCCCTTCTCAAATCTGTATTTTATTAAGTTACACTTGAGAAATACAGAAATTTCACATTTCCACAACAGAGCTAAGATTTCATTTTTGTAATGAGATTTACTTACATAGGCACATTTTACCTGAAGCAATATTCCATGTCTCCACCAGCAACTCTTACTGGAAGCTAAGCTTTTTGCCTATGAAAGCCTAATAGGAATTTTGTATTTCCAGATGTGAATCAGTGTTCTTCATTCTAATCTCTTTTTAAAAATATACAGTTAAAACCTGCAAGAACATTCAGAGCCCCTAAGCAGCAGAACAGACGATACACATTCCTTCAGTGAGTTATATGCTTGAAATCAATTTGAGAAAAAAAGCTGCTTTTGTTTCTGACAATGTGAATTCAATTAAGATTTAATAAGTTTACAAGTAGATGTAATTACAGCTATAAAATTAGAAAACATGTAAAAATATTTATTAGAACTGATTTAGTGTGCACATGGTAGTACTTACTGGTGTTGCAGAGATAACATACTGGTTGCTTATACTGGTCTTGGCATGGAAAAGTGCAAAGGAAAGGTGTTAAATATTTTCAAGGACCTAGAGTTACCACAGAAAAGAAAAAAAGTAGTAATACTAAGCTCACAGTGGAGGTTTCCAGTAGTTGAGTAGGACACATGGTTTTAAGAAACTGAAATTTATTCTTAGTAAGTTTATGTAGCTTTGTAATCTGTTTATGCAGTCCCCTTATGTTCTGTAATTGTGGGGTGCTTCATGCTTATCTAGTAACATACAAAAGGTGTAATTATGCACAGTACAAAATTGTGAAATTGTGACAGAGCATTTCTGTAGAAACGTTAGCTAGGTTTTCTTTGAATATTCAATATGAACAGTTTTTAAAGTATTTTCTGAGCAGAACTGTCCAAAACATTATTTCATTGCATATTTTCAGTATGTGGTTGCAAAGAGTGAATGGTTCTTGATATTTATTGGGGAGTGGGAACCATATACCATCTTTTGCAGAGTTGCTGTAAGACTTCCTGATTTTAAATTAGATAAAAGGTTTAATTTTTGACTGTCCACTTACCCTCTTGGCCTGCTTCTTTCTGTGAAGATATATGCATTTTATAGGATTTGGTATAAAACATATGTGGGTTTCTTTTTTCTTTTTCATTTTGTTTTTTTTTTTGCTCCAATGATTTTGCATAGCAGCTTCTGAGATCTTTCAAACCACAGGTTGAGAGAAGGTGTTTTAAATAATTGCTTCATTTCGATTTCATTTATTTTACCCATTTCAATTGATAATCATCAGCTAAGTCACAAAACCTTTTTAACAAGGCTACCTTTTCATCAGAGTAGGTGTGGAGGTTGGTGGACAAGATAAATAATTTTGTTGTCAAAACCTCCTGGTAACGTATATAATAACGTGTGTATTTTATTTTAATGGATACAAGTTTTCGTTTAGATACGGAAAACTGAGGACATTTACTTAAATTTCCTTACCCTTCCTCCTGCTGCCGCTGTTCCCTGCAGGTGAAAGACCTTTCAAGTGCAGCGAGTGTGGGAAGGCCTTTAACCAGAAGGGGGCTCTGCAGACCCACATGATCAAGCACACGGGGGAGAAGCCCCACGCCTGTGCCTTTTGTCCCGCCGCCTTCTCCCAGAAAGGCAACCTGCAGTCACACATACAGCGAGTTCACTCTGAGGTAAATGCCATTACTCATCGAGTCCTAGTGCTAACATGCATCTTAACTCAGTTTTGCTATTCCTATGTGCTCCAACCAGTGTGCATTTACTGCTCTTGTGTAGATTGCTGCTCTTACCTGTGAGCTTTCCTTATCTTGGTCTGAATAAATGTATACTTGGGAGAAGTAGCAAAACCTTCATTTGCCAGTGTCTTTTCAGTACATGGGTAGATCAATAAATAGTGAGGTTAGATGCACAAAAATGTATCTATGTCAGTCGTGGGGGAACAAGGGTTGGAATCAGGTGAAAGTAAGCCAAAAGCAGCCAAGTAGAAAATGGTGAAAAATTTCAAGGCCAAACAGCACCTCACTAATTCTATTGTAGAACATACTTGCCATTTGTCTTGAAGTATGTCTTGTAGCCTTTTACAGAGTTGTTTACAAGTAGAAGAAAATTCCAGAATAAGTTTTAAAAAAATGATCCAGACCTCTTTATGTCTGTTTTTTTTTCTATTTTTGACAGTTTTTAAGACTCAAAAGGTGCTGCTGTGATAAAGAAATATAATCTTTTTAGCAATGTGAGCTATGCAACTACCTTGTCCAGTAATTTCCTTGCAGACTTTAGTGAGTTGTAGTTGGAAATACCTATAGAAAGAGACCTAGTTTTGGTTTGAAATTATGAGGTGATAGAGGTAGCACTTGCTGCTTCTTTTATTTCCTATGCGCACAATATCATCTTTGTTCTCACTCTTCCCCTAACTGAAATCTGCAGTCTTGTTTTCCATTTTTGTGTTACAATGGTAGACACTAGTAAGGATCCTTTTAGCATGTTATTTTCTTACTTTTAGGATATGCCTTAGTATATGGATGTCTTAATAGTTTGTGATACACTTAATTATGTTAAGTCATATAACTTGGAGTTCTGTGTTCTGTTTGGGACACTCAGTTCAGGAAGGACGTTGAGGTCCTTGGAGTGTGTCCAGAGAAGGGCAAGAGAGCTGGTGAAAGGTCTGGAGCACAAGTTCTGTGAGGAGTGGCTGAGGGAGCTGGGGATGTTTAGCCTGGAGAAGAGGAGGCTTGGGGGGGACCATATCACTCTCTACAGCTCCTTGGAGGGAGGCTGTGGCCAGGTGGGGGTCGGCCTCTTCTCCCAAGCAGCTAGCAACAGGACAAGAGGACACAATCTTTAGCTGCTCCAGGGGAGGTTTAGGTTGGACATCAGGAAGAATTGCTTCATGAACAGATGATTAGACATTAGAATGGGCTGCTCAGGAAGTGGTGGAGTCACCATCCACATATTTAAGACTGAACTTGGCACTCAGTGCCATGGTCTAGTTGACAAGGTAGTGTTTGGTCATAGGTTGGACTTGAGAACCTCAGAGGTGTTTTCCAACCTAATTGATTCGGTGATTCTCTGGTGTGACTAGTCATCCTCAAGGTTAACAGCGTATACTACATAAAAAAATGTATATGTAACAGTGTATACTACATAAAAAAATGAGCCAACACTGATTTAATAATTTAAATTGACTTTTTTCAATATTAGTTAGGGGTGAAGTAAAAAATACTTTGCTTTTTTCTCTGTTACTCTTTTCCTGTAAGAAAGAAACAAGCTATGGGATAAGATATTTTAAATAAATGCTGCCTCTTGATCACATCCTAAGCTGTGTTTTGTAGTTCTGAGCCTGCATTTAGAGTTACTGCTTAGGTTAATTTATTGATTTATTTTTTCTTTCTTGCTGTTGCTGTGTTTTCTTCAAGCCTGCGTGGAACTCTTTGAATTCTTTGTTTTATTCTGAGACAATTACAAAATAACATTGCAGCTGATAATGAAATACAGGATAATTCTCACTTCCTAAAGCACTGTTTAGTTGTAGCATATTTTATTACTTAATACCTCTTTTTGGAGGTCTTGTTGGTAGTTTAATAATATATCAGTAACATATTGCAATATATATTGCTATATCAATATCAATAATATATTGCAAGTACTGCAGTGTGTTTTCTTTTGAATACCTTCACATTGCAAGTACCACACGGGATGTTATTGATGCATGATGGACTGAGGAGGGAAGGTGAGGATGGTTGGAATCTGCAAATTTAATCTGCTTTATTTACCTTAACCCATTGGTCTGAAAGTCTCAAACAAGTGGCTGCTGATCGCTTTCTAGTTCTGTGTGTTCAAATTCAGTTCAAACTAGACATTAAACTTCCATGCCCTTTATGGTGTTGGTTTTGGCTGCATTTTTTCATCTCATACTTCCAAACTTCCATTTGTATTATGTATGGTGTTTCATCTTCAGACACATCTTAACTGTAAAGTTGCATTTCAGTTTTGCTTTTAAGTGTGAAATGGCAGGAGATGGTAAAGAGAGAAACGTCTGAGACCTCATTTGCCACAGGACATTTGTTTTCTGTCGGCTGCTTCACAGTGTTAAGTGGTAATAAGCAATTGTAGTCGTGCACATAGATTATGGTCCATTTATATCCAAGAGGTACCAGCCTGATTCCATAACTGTATATTGGTAACTTGAAAAAATAAACCATTTTAGCTCTCATAATCCCATAGTATACTTGTTATATAGAAAAATAATGAAAAACATAATATTTGGTAGGTGTAGGGAAAATTTACCTTTTTTTCTTTTTTTTTTTATAAGGTGAAGAATGGCCCTACATACAACTGTACAGAATGTAGCTGTGTCTTCAAAAGCTTGGGTAGCTTAAATACGCATATCAGCAAGATGCACATGGGTGGTCCACAGAATTCTGCCAGTGCTTCAACAGATGTATCTCATGTTACAGTGGTAAGGTTTGCTTGATATATAGTGAAAATGCCTTTGAGAGTTTAATTAAGTCTATCTCTTAATTCCAGTAATTCTTCAGATTAGAACTTTTAGACTTGTAGCTATCTTCTGTCTTTTTCAAGTGTGATTTTTGGTATTAATTTGCAGTATTAAATATTGGGAAAATGTAAATTGGCCAACTATATGCAAAAAAGTATTTATGATTTTATGCCTTGGTTGAAAATGTAGCAGTTTTAATTTTAATTTTGCAACTAAGTAAAATACAATTCTTGTTCTTAGAGATTATGTTAGCCTCCTCTGATAAAATAAAAATTATGGAGAAGTTTTAGAACTATTGAAATAATTTATTGGTTTCAACTCATTTTCAGAAAATGTTTGTATAATTCTAGTCTATATAAGCACATAGTGGATTCTTCTGTTATATCTGAGAACTTTTTTTAATTGTTAGCAGATTATAAAGGAAAAAACATAAGCTTTATTAAAAGCAGTGAATTATTTTTTTTTCTTTACAAAGATACAAAAAAGAGCTAAAATTCAGAAAATGTCTCTGGTTTCATAAGACTACAGTATTTTTTGAGCCAGTGCATATTTAATTTATCATAGTACTCTTCTTATTTTCTTTATTAGAACAATCTTTTTTTTAAGCCTAAAGGGGACCTTTAGTCCCCTCTGTTTTGCTTAATCTCCAGCTCATGCTTTAATGTTCAATGGGTGATGGGTAATACCAGGCTTTGAAAGAGGAAGGTTAAAATTTGAAGTCTGAACTTCGTTTTGCAGCAGTGTCTTCTTGACATAACCTGCCTAGTAATGGTGTTTGGAAAAGCTTTTTTTTTACATGTTGTGCAGTTTTATAGGGCAGATGCTATTTGTTTCTCCATGATAATTCATAAAAAGAAAGAATAATGAATTTTATTTGTTTGCAAGTGCATATATTCTCTATGCCTTTTTTTACATTTCTACATTCTCAGGCCTGATCTTAAAAGAAAGCAGGATGGAAAAGAATTCCACCAGCTCTGATTTTTTGGTGTTTTTTTTTTTTTCTTTTTGGTTTTCATAAATATTTTTGATTTGGTTAGCATACTGATATTGCAGCAGTGTGGTATTATCTCTGCTTGCATGAGTAGTTCGCTGCTTGCATGCAAGAGGGAACTAGCAAAAAATGCCATACAATAGTATCAGCAAAGAGAGAGAAGGGAGAAAAAGATTCCTTCTAAAAGGAAATGCCAAGAAGCTTAGCAGGGAGGGGCAGAGATTAAAAAATGGCATGTCAGTTGCATATTAGAGGGGATTATGCTTTTTATTTGTAATTTTATATCTGAATCCTAATTTTTGGTATTGCTTTAGAAATTTAGTACATTATTAGATTAGCACTAGCATTCTTAGATTAGAACTTTTCTTCATTCTGCTGAAAACTTGCAGAGCTGCTTTAACAACAAATCTCCAGTATAATAACTATTCTGAAGTTTGCCATCAGTCTCTGTCATCTCTTAGTACATATCTGGGGATAAGCAAGGATTATATCCTTATTAAGTTGAAGTTTCCTGAAGTTTCCTGAAGTGCTGTGCTACCAAAGAATGTACTCTTGTGTGACACATGAGAATATTTACTAAATTATACTGACTGTAAGGCTGTCGTTTGCATTGATATTTATAGCTAAGATGATTTTTGTACTTCTGTTTCTCTCACATAGTCTAATTTTTCTATGCTGCTTTTCTGTGTTGTATCAGCCATGTTTTTCTTCTTTTTGATTAAGATTTAAAGTATTTTGATTTCTTTGTAGGACTCTGTCACCCAGCCTTTAACGACATCCCCTACTAATCTTTTGCAACCTGTTGATAACAAATGGAAGAATGTAAGTGTGAAGTTTTGGTCATATTTTTGTGTCAAGACTATAAATAGGAGAAACTTTACATAATTTTGTATAAATTTTCATTTACCGGGTGAAAAAGGGTATGCTGTGATACTTTGTGATGTTAGATCAGCTAATATGTGAAGGGAAGCTCCTTGGTGAATGCAGCTGCTTATTTAGAGGTGGAACACATCTTGAATGGATTATGTTGCCTCATTTGTTTATACACTCATGAATTTGTGTGTAAGTCTCTTCAACAGATCTCCAAAATTGAGGTAAATACTTTTCTGTATAAAAAGATCAGAGAGTAAGGATTCTTAAAATCCTGCATTGCCCTACCCCTCTACCTTTATTTTGCAGAGATTACCATGGCTTTGTTGGAGAGGGAAGGAGCTGTATACTTTTTATTATCTCATGAGGAGGCATTAAGAATACTTCATCAAATGGGTTGAGTTGATTGGAATTTTTTGGTAGCAGAGGAATTGTGGGGCTCAGGAAGGGCTGTGGAGCTGGGGAAGGATGATGCAGGGCTGACTTTCTGGAACTCCATAGCAAACAGTTGTGGTGTACAGCAAGGTCTGTATGTGCCAGTCCCGTGAGAGTTCTGCCAGGTTTTGTTGCAGCTATACAGTATCTTGTTTGTCAGCTATAGGTTGCAGCATGGTATCTTATGGACAAACCATCTGACTTAGTCTCCCCTTCCCAGCATCATTTGGGAATTGATTATTTTCTCTTGGACTCAAATTCACCTTACCAAGAACTGGGAAATATGGCAGTATTGCTTTAAAGTCACCATAAGCAGCTCATCCACTGTAGACAGGGCAGAAGAAGTGGAGGAGTAACACTGATGCATGTAATAGAAGAATTAGAATGTTTGGAACTCAAAATTGGCAATGGAATAGATGAGTGCCTGGATAAGAATCAAGGGGAAAACAAATAATGCAGATATCATTGTGGGAGTCTGCTGTAGACCTTCCAGGCAGGACGATGATATTGAGGAATTATTATTTGAGGAACAAAGGGACACCTCCAAGTCAACTGCCCTTGTTTTTATGGGAAGCTTCAACTTGCCAGAAATTACCTGGGAGAATCACACAGCTGATACAGCCTGGGCCAGAAGATTGCTAAAAGCCTGGATGACAACGTTATGGAATAGGTCCTAAGGGAGCAGACTCAGATGTCCTCCTTGATCTACTGCTTGTCAGCAGAGAGGATCTGATAGGCAAAATGGAGATTGGCATCCATCTTGGCCACAATAGAGTTTAAAATAGGCTTTTGTTGACAGGAGGAAAAGTGCCAGCAAAACCTCAGCTCTGGATGTGAGGAGAGCAGACTTCAGGTTGCTCAGGGAACTAGTAAATAAGGACCCGTGGGAAAATGTTTTTGCAAGTGCTGGGGAATATCACTGCTGGTCACTTTTTAAATATCACATTCTGAGGGCACAGGAGCAGGCAGTTCACAAATATCACAAGTCAGGAAGCAGGCAAGGCAGAAGGCCGTGTTGGCTGAACAGAGATCTTCTTTTGGAAATAAGGCAGAAAACAAAGGTGTATGCCCTGTTGTAGCAAGGTCAGGTGACACAGCAAGAGTACAAAAGTACTGCTTGTTGCTGTAGGAAGAAAATCCATGTGGCCAAGGCTCAGCTGCAGTTGAAACTGGCCAGAACTGTGGGGGACAAGAATAAGAGTTTTCTTCAAATGTATTAATGGCAATAGGCAGTGTAAAAAATAATATTGGCCCATTACAGGATGAGGATGGTCACCTCACAAATAGGGATAGGGATGTGGTCTGTTCAGCCTGGAGAAGACTTAGACCTCATTGCAGTTACAACTTCTTAAAAAGGGGAAGAAAAGGGACAGACCAGACCAGACCATCTCTTCTCTGTGGTGACCAGGGACAGGACTTGAGGGAATGCCCTGAAGTTTTGGCAGGGGAGATTTAGCTTAGATATTAGGAAAAGGTTATTCACCCAGAGGGTGGTTGTGCACTGAATGAGCTCCCCAGGGAAGTAATCACAGCACCAAGAGTTCAAGAAGCATTTGGAGAATAGTCTCAGACATGTGGTGTGACTCTTGGAGTGTCTTGCGCAGGACCAGGAGTTGGTCTCAATGATCCTGATCGGTCCCTTCCAGAATATTCTGTGATAATGTGAAGAGTGCCAGGTTGTTCCTTTAGAGAGATATGAGTTGGGAGCAATGGATCCAATGACTTCTCCTCCCAGAATTGTCTGAAACTGCCTGGCAGCTTTCCAGCCACTCTGTCCCCAGCCTGTAGCATTGCCTGTGGTTTTTGTGATCTAAGTGCAGGACCCAGCACTTGGCCTTGTTGAACCTAATACAATTGAACTATTGACCAAGTCTGTCCAGATCTGTATTTCATTCTGGCAATTTTTAGGGTTTTTTCCTGTTGTCTGTTTATGGTGTTCACTATTCATGAACTATATTCAATAATACAGGAGGAATCAGAGCCATCAGAATCCTTAAAATATGTTATGGTGTGTTTATTAGTGAGGAGATTCAAGGTGCGTTAGCTGGCTTGTCCATCTGATGAAATACTTAGACATGATTTCATCCTCTGTTTTGAAGAAGAGGAAGAAGTCTGTCATCTTAATAGAGGAGAGGAAAAAAAGTTTGAGGGTCATGGCTAGGCAAAATGTCACTTGGAAATAAAGTATAAAATTTTAGTGAAGATAATTTACTCTTGGAGCCACATATTGAAGTTGGATGGCAACAGAAAAAGTTAACCACAATAAACTACTTGATTTAAAGAACTGTGCTCTAATTTTTTACAGTTACTGTGACTTGAAGGAGTAATTCACTCAGACCAGGCACACTGTCTGTGTTAGACAGCAGATCAGACAAACCAAGGGTCATCACAAGGTCCACTGTTCCAGTTGAGCAACAGTGGAATTACGAAGCAGTAATAAAACACTTCATTCTCCGTTATCTTTAAAACTGGTTGTTCAAATAAGACCTAGGAAGAGACCTCTGAAACTTTTTATAATTAACAACGTATCTTAAGGGTAATGGTAACAAACTTAGAATATGTGCATGTGTGTACATTATTGTTCAAAAAGATGACCTCCATGAGACTGGATATAAACTGCTGTATAATACGCAGGACACACTGGCTAAATGCATGTAATGCTGTAATTTTCATATCAAAGATGACATTGAGAAGTTCCTTCATTAACAATAACATTAATTTTAATTAACAATAATTAATTAACAATTACATCAATTTTTCTCTTGCTAAAGCCTGGGAGAATTTTGTACACTTTTAGTGTAGGCATCCTGCTCTACATAAAAGCCTTCTTACATTCTGTTTCCAGAAAAGAAATTATGTTTATAAAGAGCTGTTACACTCTTCAGCAAACTGCTTTGTTTCTGTATAAGTTTGCTTCCTGTTTATGCCATTCTCATTGCAATATAGTGTGTCACCCGTATTTGAATGTTTTTAGTGCTTTTGCTAAATTTGAATCTGAAGAGATAAGGAGTTTTTTTGTGTCTCACTAGTGAGGTGAAAAAAGGAAGAACTAATGGTTAAATCAGCAAAGTAACAAGTGACATTCTCACATGCATGCAAGAGAAGCAAGATAAGGATTTGGTTTTTATTATCTCATGAGGAGGCATTAAGAATACTTCATCAAATACATAGGACAAAATCCGAGTCAAGCTAATATTTCTTAATATAATTCTTTGTAACCATCCTTTCTTTACTACAGTGACTGTCATCTTTACTGTCTAGTGTAAAGTGTCAATATAAAGAAATTCTCAGGGAAGTTTTCAGATTAGAAGGAAATAGTACAAATGTGAAGCCTAAGATTATTGTTTGCTAAAAATAATCTGAAATAAGACAGCCTTTTATATCTGTATGTAGTTGCACATGCACCTTGAAGTGGTTCTTTTTAGGGAACAGAAGTGAATATTAGAAGCAAATAACCAGTATGTTCTAGAATACCCAGCTATGGGGCTAGCCATTCTATAAAAACATATTTCTGTTTTCTGCAATAAAACAAATTATTAAAAACAGTTGTTTCTGTAATGGTATACTTATGCAGTCTATTTGTCATAACAAGAGAAGTTTGTAAATGTAAGCAAACAGGAGTCTTTATTTCTGATTTTGAAAAAAAATACCAAGGCTCTATCACTTTTTCCCTTCATATTTGTTACTGAGGTAGTCTAAGATACACAGTTTCAAACTAAGGATTAGGAAATTAGATTTTTATACTTCAAATTTTTTTAGTATTTTGACAGAGCCTGATGTGTATTTAATTTTTTAGAATATGAAGAGATTCCTCTAAAGCTAAGTGGTTTCAAAGGTTCCAAATTGAAAGGGAAAAGTTAGTCATTTGTTCTGAAAGGTTTTGATACAGCAACACAGATAATTTAGTAAAAAAAATATCTTTAATGGAAAGTTCTTTTTTACAAAGGATCTAATTGAAATAAATGTGAACTTTAAAAAGATAGCCATGTCAGTTTATTTATTGTGGGAATTACTTTTCATGTGGCCTTTACAGGTGGAGTTTTGTAGTTGATCCCTCCCTGGGTTTTCTAAATTGGTTGAAGGTTCAGTAGTTAACAGTAAATTAAATTCAAGCTGTAAGCTTACATTTTCAAGCTTGGGAAGAACTGAAAAAAAAAAAAAAAAGGGCATACAAAAGCAATTCTATAATGAAGTAAGCAAACTTTGAATGAGGCTCTATATAATCAGTATGTTTTATATAAGTAGCCATCCTCGTAGCACACAGTTACCAGACATTTCAGGTAAGGGAGCTGCACAGGTGAGTTCATAACATACTTTTGCTCTCCCTTGACAAATGTACCACTTATATTTCAGGCCACACATTTTCGGTCTCCACTTCTTCAACAGTCAGAAAACCAGGTGTCTCCAGCTGCGGCTCATCAGGGTCAACAGACTGTAACTGATGTCATTCAGCAGCTCCTTGAGTTATCAGAACCAGGTCCTGTAGAAAATAACCAGCCTCAACAACCTGGTCAACAGCTCAGCATTGCAGTGGGGATCAGTAGAGATATTTTGCAGGTAAGAGCTCTATGTGAGAGCAGCTTTACATTTCAGTGGTTCCTTTCTCATTCTCTCTTACATTTTAATGAAATTCGTTCTCAGTATTTTCAATTATAGAATTCCTAATGGATTTCTAAGCAATCCATTAGTCAAGAAAGAATTGTAAAGATTTATTGAATGGGTGTGGACTGCACCAATATAACTTTGTATGGTTTTAAATGTGCGCCCTGTACATGAATATTTTTACCGGTATCTTAAGCCTTCTTTTTTTCTGTTGCCTAAAAGCAGCTTGTGGTGTGTCCTTAAAACGTGACATCATTCAAGAGGGGAAAAATATTTTATCTGGTTAAAAAATGAGAATGTATACCTGGCCTTTACTTTTTTCTAATTAATAAGGGCTATCTGAATATTTCCTGTTTACACAAGAATTTTTTTTCTGAGGTCAGCTAGTATTTTTCCTAGAAAACTTCCTATATTTTGTCCTTGATAATGGCAGAAGGAGACATGGTGTAACAGAAGAGATGTAGGCTGGTGAATTACTATCTGTGCTTGTTCTGCAGCCTGCACCCCAGAAAAGCACAAACAGGATGAGTCAGGGCAAAGAATAATATTCTTTAGTGTTACTGGTAGCCTGCTAACCTGAAAGGTACCTTTTCTTCTCTAGACTTTTAAATACCATTTAAATTTGGGGTTGGAAGACCCAAATATTATATGCAGCTATGGGCAGGTTCACCCTGTGCTGAGTTCTCTACTGGCTGGAATGTGATGAAGAATTGCAGAGTCACAATGTGATACATAACTATTATCCTGATAGGTATTAAAAAAAATAAAAGTTGTTTCCTAAAAGGCAACTATAAGTGCGGAAAATCCAACCTAAAATTTCACAGACAATCAGAAATTAATGTTCTGTAATAATGTGTTTGCAGGTTTGAAATATAGCTGAAATGTTGTGAGAACGAGACATTTAATTTCTTTAATTATATTTTCATTGTGTCTTTCAAGTACTTGTTTGAGAAAAGTTGGGGATAACTGTGGAATGTTTCTTCCTTAATCTAGAATTTTTTTTCTTCTTTTTTTAGCAAGCGTTAGAGAACAGCGGGTTGTCATCAATTCCTGTCTCTGCACATTCTACTGACTGCAGCCAGGCTAAGGCTGCTGGGGCCCAGGATCAGAACCCAGATGTCCCGAGCCTCTCAAATCATCAGGCTGATTCTAATAGTGCAGAACAAGACAAGGAGCGAGACAGTATGGACAAACTAGATAAAAAAGAAAAAAAGTTAATTAAGAAAAAATCACCATTTTTGCCTGGTAATAGTGCCACTGCTTTCTGCTTCTTGTGCTGTAGAGAGTGTAGTAATTTATGGCATTATAAAGGGATTTCCCAAAATGTTTTGTGGATTAGTTATGAACAGTATTTTTCCTTACCTTAAATACAGTGTAAGGTATGAGTAATAATATTTATAATTTTCATTATAAAATATGTTTTCATAAAAAACCTATGTCAGGATGTCAAGAAGTGAAATTATACTTCTAAATCTTTTGGATTAAATCAGTGGAGTTACAGGAAAAGGACAAAGTATGTGAATCTGTTATTCTCTCCCATCATCCCTCTCTGGCAAGGACTGGATTTTCATTGTGTGTCCCAGAGTAAAGAGTTCTTGCAAGGACTGTTCTTCCCCTTTGGAAGCGAGGCCTTGCAGAGACATAAGGGCAGGACTGCAGATCTTGACTGATCCATGTAGGGAAAGACAAAGGCTGGCATTATGAATAATTCTTCATGTCACCTTTCTCTTGGAATCACAGTACTGATATGACATTGTCACCATAAATACATGTTGTTATTCTGCCTCTGTACTGTGTTGTGTGTATGCAAGCCTGCATTTTGTGTCTGTGTGCTTAAATGCAACTTCAGTTTCAAGGTTGCTTGAGCTTTATGGCTGCTAGAAGTTGTTTGTTCCATGTAAAGCCTTCATACTTTAGCAGCCAGCCTGGCATATACAGTGCTATAATGCAGCCTTTGATCTCTAGTATCATGATAGGTACACTGATGTTCCTTTTTCTTTTGCAAGGGATGAGGAATTGATCTAAAGTAAAAACTTGTCTTCAGTATGGCTGTGATAAAAATTAACATTAAATTTTTTTTCTGGTATATAATTAATTTGTTACTTGTGTTTAACAATAACAACTCTCTAGCTGTGACTGCAAATAAAAATAAAAGGCCACTGCTGTACAGTCAGACACAATTACTTTTGTTTTTGATAAGCTAACATGACTTCAGTGTTTTGACAGAAAAAAAACCCACTAGGTTTACTGATTTGAATGAGCAAACAGTCTGATATTGAACAACATGTATAGATAAAAAGCTTGGATAGGTTTTAGAAGGGGTTTCTTTCATTTTTTGTTGAGGAAAAAATGTCCTGTTGCCTTAGGGACAGACTGTAGGGTTCTTGGATCATAAAAATTTTTTTATAAAAAAGTAGCCTTAAATTAAGGACTTGCCCAGTTTTTCTTCCTTGACAAGTTTAAAAAATGTAATTTAAGTCTGAATTTGTAAAAGAGAGGCTCAAGCAAAGTTTGATAAATGTTAAGTATGTAAAATAATCTGATGTGGTTGTGGATTTACAGTCATTTTTGGATAATTTTGTGTTTGATATGTTATTTATAAGTTAACTGGTATATTATATGGCATTTACAGCTGCATTCTACATTTCTAAGTGGCACAGAAATTGTGGTATTTGAATTTCAACAGGATTCTCTTGGGGTTTTTTCTGTCATTCAGCCTATCACCATTTTCATAAAGTAGAATATATCCGATACAGAAGTTAATTTTATGAAGTGTGTTGTGCTCTGATTGTGGTCAAAAAGTGTTTTTGTGGTCTGATTGCTTCATAGAATAGCATCAACGTAGTGGGATTTTTCGAGAATTGTTAGAAGGTTTAAAACACATTCATTTTGATATTCCTTGTTTCAGGTTCTATACGTGAAGAAAATGGAATCAGGTGGCATGTTTGTCCATATTGCTCTAAAGAATTTAAAAAACCAAGCGACTTAGTGCGCCACATTCGCATTCACACCCACGAGAAGCCATACAAGTGTCCCCAGTGCTTCCGTGCCTTTGCCGTGAAGAGCACTCTAACAGCACATATAAAAACACACACTGGCATTAAAGCTTTCAAGTGCCAATTTTGTATGAAAAGCTTTTCCACCTCAGGGAGTTTAAAAGTTCACATTCGCCTGCATACAGGTAAGGAAGGCCTTGAGATGGCTTTGTATATTCTATGATGTGGGTGGGACCTTGAACGAGTAAAGACTGTGAGATGTGTAAGTTGTAGACATGTCTGCCATGTCATTGTTAATACCTATCAGAGATTGTATCATTTTAGTTTTGTACATGATAAGTGTCATTTTTTGTCATAACTTTCTTGTGTTTCATGGCTTTGAAACTTTGGGTTCTTCCAAAAAACACTGACATCTAATTTTCTGATCATGAGTCAGCTGTTGTTTCTTTCTAATATCACTATTCTGAATGTATTTAATTGTGCTTTCTGAAGAGCCATACTCCTGCAATTTGAGTTCTGATGTGCATTTCTTAGGACAGCTTCTGAAACACTTGAAAATTGCTGTAACATTTGCATCATCCAGTTTCTTGGTAACAAACTGACTTCAAGTTATGTGTTTCAGTCAATTAGCCATTCAGCAGATTAGTTGTTACTTTGATTGAGTTTTATGGATTAAAATTTTTATTGAAGTTTTATGTTTTGGAAACCTGTGTTACAATAAATACCATGAGAGAAAGCAAAAAAAAAAAATCAGGAAAGAGAATCAATATTCTAAAGCTACATTTCTAGCTTGATAGAAATAAAATTTTGCGCTTTTTCTTTTTCATCTTTTGCAGGTGTTAGGCCTTTTGCTTGTCCTCACTGTGACAAGAAGTTTAGAACATCGGGCCATCGGAAAACTCATATCACTTCACATTTTAAACATACGGAGCTAAGAAAGCTGCGACACCAACGTAAACCCACAAAAGTTCGAGTAGGAAAGTCAAGTGGTCCAGTACCAGACATCCCTTTGCAAGAGCCCATACTCATAACTGATTTAGGTAAAGAGTGAATAAATCCATACTCTCTTGAAATTTGGACTTCAGTGGAATATAAAGGTCACATTTTAATCCAGCAAAAGCATTCAGAGCTCATTTCTAAAGATGCACATTAAAATAAGTCATCAAAAACAAACTTCAGCAAAGTGTTATATTTTATAGTTCGATTGCACCAGAATTAATAAGAACAGTATTTTTTATTTACAGTTAAATTGTCATCCTTACCAGTAAGAAGCCATGTGCATTTTTATATTAGGAGTTTAATTTGAATATTATTAGACCATTGGTATAGAGATGACAGTTCGTGACCGAGAGTGTTCTCAAGATGATCATGTTTCAATCAACATTTGTAATAAAGATTACAGATATTAATGAGTCAGATATGAATTATTAATGCAGATATTAACAGTTATTATTAATACAGATATTAGTGAGTCACATTATTTTCAAGTATTTGTTTTAATTATGACCTCGGCTAAAGTAGTAGTAATAATTCGTGGTCATATTTCAAAAAAAGGGCAGCTTAATTCTGGAACATGCTTTGAAGAATTCATCCAGTTATTTAAATTCTGTTGTATAAATATTGTCAGAAGATTATGTTAAACAACTTTTTGGAAGAAGTTGTACAAAACAGTATATTGTTGTCCAGTAGAGGTCAAAGTAGTGGGTGAGGTGTTTACTCTTTGTTTTTGAATGAACAGTCTGCTAACCCCTGACTTGTCTATTGTGCAGGCATTTTTATGGTGGAATCTTACATTGGTAATACCTTTATCCTATTTCAATAAAAGTCTTATCACTCTTTAAATATCCTTTTGCTTTCACTGCATCCAGGAGTTACTGAAAGCAAGAGAAGGGATTATTTTGGTATCATATAGGAGAAACTTAAGTTTTTGGGGTGCAAACAAAACTTAGCTGACAGCTTCAGACAGATCACACAGTATTTCTTTCTTGAGTGAATCCCAGAAACAAGTATAATCCCATTTCTTGATTTTGAAGAGAAGCTCCACTTCAATACAATTAAGATCTGCGCGTGAAAGTCTTGATTTTTGGAAAAAGATTAATATTAATAAGAAATACTATAGAAGTTGTTTCCTATGGACGCTGATAACACATGAACTCTGCTGATATTAGAATGTTCAATGTAAAAATAAGTTCTACTGTTTATCTAGAAGATATGTCATGTTTTTTCAACCCCCTGACAATATTTCCACATTTTTACTCCTTCCCCCCAAAAAAACTTCTGTTGACACATATTTTACTTTCTATAATAATCTTAATTTTTCTAAAAGCTTAGGAAAAAACTCTGTATATTGTTCTCTGTATGTTTCAATGCTTTTCCCAAAGGGTGTATTAAATATTTGTCAAGTTGTATACTTGATAATATTTGATATGCATTGATTAAATATCATTTATTAAGGTCAAGGTTGAAAGGAGAAGATATTATTGGATTAGCAATGAATTCATAACTGTTAACTTTAAAAAAAGTTAATGCTTCTTTAGGACAAGACTGCTCCTGTAGTGAGGTGAACCTGTGGATAAAAGAAGAATTTACCATTAAAATACCATGTACAGTATAATATCTATAATGCTGTATGCATAATTTTAAGTAAATGCTGCAAACATGCACATTTTCTTTTCTATTTTTGGATACTGCAAGTTTAGTCATGTTTCTTTTCAAATCCTAGCTCTTCAGACTACTGCATCTTTGGAATAACTTTACAATCAATTTTTCTTATTTCTGTGTGTGTGTTTATGTATGCAGGTCTTATCCAGCCAATCCCAAGGAATAGCCAGGTCTTCCAAAACTATTTTAACAGTAATTTTGTGAATAATGCAGAGAGACCATACAAATGCTACTATTGCCATCGAGCATATAAAAAATCCTGTCATCTTAAACAACATATCAGGTAAAATAAACACAATCAAGAAAGGAAATGTATGCCATAACAAATTTGTGGAAAGACATGGAATTTATATAGCATTCACTAAAAAGACTTTTTTTACCATCTCTTTAACACTGAATCAGTGATAATTGATTATTTTTTTTTTTTCTTGTAGAGTTGGAGGAGGCTTTGGACTAACTCATGGCTATGTGCAATTTTAGCAGTATAAGTGGTTGTGTTCAATGTGCAGTTTAGTTTACTGACACCTGGATTCTTTTTTCCAAAACTGTGTATAGAAAATAGCAGGCATTGTTTGTGAATTCTACGGTAATTTTGTAATTGTATACTCTAGATTGCCTGCTTTGTATGCAACTCCTATTTTTTGAGATGGAAATTAGCCTTTTGTTCTGTATAGAAAACCTAAAAGATTTGGAGCTTACATTGTAATTGAGTAAATGTTGCTGGGGATCATTTTGTTGCTTGAAGCTCAGTTCAAGTTCTGTGTAGTCAGTGCTTGTTAGAAACAGAGTCATGGAGTCATAGAAAAATTTAGATTGTAGAAAAACCAGTGGGGATAACTAATCCAGTCTTGTTTTGAGAAGAGGAGCAGCTTCAAAGTTAGATCGGGTTGCGGTTTTACAGGCAATGAGATTTAACGTTTAGTCAAAGTAGGAAACAGTGCTCTCTGACTTACAAAGTATAAACGGCTAGAAGAAGGAATATGAAAAAACCCCACCAAAGATGATTACTGAAATTTAAGGGTAGAGTCTATACAAGCAGATGGCAATCTGCTTGTTTCTGCAGTGGAAGCTCTGTGCTGCTTTCTCACTCTTTCTAGCTCAGATCATGGTGAGTTCCTCCTACTCTCTTAAAAAATGAAGTTCTGCGTTTTTTAATTTCTCAGATTGCCTTGAAACAGTTCTTGTGTTTGATATGCTGTTTTACCAGGAGGAAGGGAAGCTTTAAAATATCCCATCTTTTATTTTGTAATAGCCTACCTAGATTTTTCATTGTCTGCTGTAGACGGATTCCAGATGGATTGATTTAAATGAAAATAATTTTGGATTATGCTGAAAATGCAAAAATAGGATGTGGGTACCAATCACCTGCTACTGTGTTTCTTTGGTCTTTCAACAGAGTACTGAGTGAAGCCTAGCTTTGTTTAAGGTTTTGTGATGGAATTAGAAACTTTTTTCTTTTTACATATTTTCTCTTTGTAAATTGGCATTGCTATAATTAAATAGCTTTGCTTTATAATTTTGTGAACAGTGTGTCCTCATGGAGTAGTGCTGATCATTGCTTGCAAAGTTTGTTTCCCTCTCTGAAAAAAATGGGAAATTTATAGTAGGGGTATTTTCAGTAGAGCAGTGACTGTGAATAGTGTGTCAAATAATCCCCTAGGCACACCAAGGAAGGTCAGGATACCCTACTGCTGATTTTTTGTGGCGTGTATTGGTAGCAAAACAGTAATCTTAATATCTGTCATATACTTAGTTATGGCCTGTGATGTGGTGGTCATAGACTTCCAAGGTTACTGTAATCATAAGCTGTCCCTAACTTTTCATGTTTTTATTAAATCTTGCTTCTTTTGTCTTCCATTTCCTAGCATTCCCATTGCCTTCTTTCTGACTCTCTCCTGGGATGCTACAGTTGCAACCCTTAATATTCTTGTTGCATTCCATTTCATTTCCTAACGTTTCCTTCCATCTGTTTTGTATCTCAGTGTAGTCCTAAAGGGAAACTCCTCTAGCACCTTTGGAAGGAAGGCTATAGTGAGTGCTCTGTACTTTGATAAGGGAGAGGCTTTCCCCACTTGAGTATTTTTTTCATGTTGCATTATGAGAGACAGGTTTTGCTTTGTTTGGGAGGTATTCAGGATGGACACAGTTCTTTTCCCAAGAGTTTTGTTGTTAACTATAGTTGTAGTATATATAAAGAGAACAATATCTTTTTCTCCAAACTTTTGTGGACAGTTTTTTTAGCTGAATTGATGAAAATACATGTGAGTGATAATATACTAGTCTGAAGAACTACTGCACCATCTGGAATGGAAAAATTAAACCCAAGTACTGTGATGGAGACAAAGTATGATCAGAAAAGGAGATTGGATTGTGCAACATAGCTAAAACTAATCAGATAGTATTTGTTTTAGCGCTGCCAAGTTGTTTGTAACTTAATATCTGGCTTTTCTTAATTGGGGCCTCTTCCATCCATACAGCTGTCACCTTAGTTTGGTTTATTTTTCTCATTTTAAAATTGAGTCCTTCAATAATTTTGTAAATCAAATGTTCAAATCTATTTTAACTTCTGCCTTCTCTTAAAAAGGTCTCATACAGGTGAAAAGCCATTTAAGTGCTCTCAGTGTGGACGAGGTTTTGTGTCAGCTGGAGTTCTGAAAGCACATATTAGAACACACACTGGATTGAAAGCTTTCAAGTGCGTTGTGTGCAACGGGGCCTTCACTACTGGTGGTAGCCTCAGGCGACACATGGGGATCCATAATGACCTTCGACCATATATGTGTCCCTACTGTCAAAAAACATTCAAAACATCACTCAACTGTAAAAAGCACATGAAGACTCATAGGTATGCTTGCAATTTTTGTATAAGTCTTCCAATGTAGTTCAGCAACCATTCCTTAAAGATACTTGGAAAGGCAGCTTTACTTTGTAGCAGCTACATATGTTTGAATAGGGATTTTTATTTATGGGTAGCAAACCTTAGTAGATTGTGATGTATAGTAAAAATAAAAAATTGTTCATATAAATAGGATCAATGTGTAACTGAATCCATAAAGACTTTCTCACCTTGCTTTGTAGGTATGAACTTGCACAGCAACTTCAGCAGAATCAGCAGTCTTCTTCAATAGATGATTCTACAGTACATCAGCAGAGTATTCATGTTTCTACACAAATGCAGGTGGAGATTCAAAGTGATGAGCTACAGCAGTCAGAATCTGTTGCAACAGATCAGCAGGCTATTTTAGAGTTAGATCAGCAGCCAGTAGTAGGCACAGAAGAAACAGCACTAGAACAAGAATTGTCTGATCAACCTTTAGAGCAAGATGAGGGTGAGTATTTGACATATGATAAGGTTTATAATGAGGTAAGTTTACAATTTCTCAAATAATTGTTTCTTGACAGGAACTAGAAAAATACATGGAGTAAAGGCTACTTACTATATATTTAAGGTATATAGTACAGTTTCATTAATTGGTGTTTATGATTACTATTAAAGTATAAAAAGATTAGGATTTGTATCCTTTAATTGTAGCAAGCAAAACTACTAAACAAATGTACAGAAAAATGATCTGTCCACAAAACTTTACCATGTCAGTCCTCTGATTATTAAAAAGCACTGCTTTATAGTCTACTTAAAGTAATACCTGTGGTTTGAGGTGAATGTTCCATATTCCTATTTTATTTCTAATCGTGGAACAAAGTATTTTGGTTTTGCTTCTCTGCTCTTTTTCATGGTGCAGTGAGTTATCAAGTACAACAGTACATAAATTAAATGTACTATAAACAAAGATTTAAATACCTGCAGCTAATAATTGTTTAGTTTATTTTTAATGAGAAAATTTGGATGACAGTAAAATATGTGGGTTTTGCAACAACTGAAATATACATTTAATTACATATTTTTTTTAATATATTTTCCCCTTTTCTTTCCTCCTTTCCCCTCTCCTTCCTTTCCCCATTTCAGATAGATTTGTGACATCCCAGCATGCTTTACAGGAAAACATCACTCAGTTTGAGCAACAGACTATAACACAGCAGCCCTTTGATCAACAGAGCTTATCACAAGGTTAGTAATAAATAAAGGAGGTAAAAAGTAGTTTTTATAAATCTGGCTTTACAGCGTAGCTATGGTAAAACATTTTAAAGTGGGCATCTGCATTCAAAGTATCTGCAATGCAGGGAACTTGAAAAAAAATTACCTTCCTGAAGCTATACTTGGTAGAATATTATGAATACTTAATTTTTCTTTTTTACTTTTATGAGCTGATGTCTAGTCATTACAGTATGGGTTTTAGAGTCAAGCATATAATATTCTTTCCTTGATTATGTGGCAGTAGGCATTTTGCACAAGTTTCTGTCTTGGTATACATGCTCATAACCTGAGATTATCAGAAACACAATCTTAAAATTTGAGTGAGTAGCTACTGGGATTCATTTTGGAAAAAGACAGTGCAAAATATAGTAATGTAAAAACCATATTTTCACCTATCCACAGCAGTTTCTTTTTATATTTTATAGAGCAATGAAACTAGATTGTAAGTGCTTGGAAACTGGTTTTTTTTCCCTAAAATACAGAGAAATATGTATAGGTGTGTGTAGCCTGCAAAATAGTGAAGAAATGACTGTCTTTGCTTTTTACAGCTGGATTTCTTGAATTGTTACATAATATGAAGCTACTAATTTTGTTTTGGGATTTTATTGGTGATTGTTTTGGCTTTTCTGTCTGGGGGTGTTGCTGAGATGGAGAACGTTCAAGGGGTTTTCATTTGTTTTGATTTGGAAACATCACTGGCTTGTCCCTTGAACTCCTTGTTTCTGACTCCAGGAAGTAACTTCATGTAGTTGATAACCAGTAATTGGTATTCTGCGTGCACAAACTTCTCTGTTCTTAGTTTCATTCCCTTTTAATTGTATAGTATCATTTGTAAAAACTTAATTGACTATGGTAAGTTGCATCACGCTGTGAAAAAATAGTATAATTTGCCAATTTTAATTCTCTAGGTTGTGCTGCTTTGCGTGTAAAGAAAATTAAAGTCTCTGCCTTTATTTAACAAGACTGATCCAGATGCTCTTAAAATATTATGATTATGGTCATTGGTTGACTTTTACAGTTTTTCAAATGAATGAGAAGATGCTATGGAAAAAAAAGCAGCCTTTTGTTCTACATTATTCTGAAGAGTGGTGGTGATTTTTGTTTGGTATTTTTCTAATGGCTCCTTAGAATTTATAAACCCAGTAGTAACTTTTGTTCTGTCATCTTGTTTAAACTTCAGTTTCTGTTTATGCGTGTCTTCAGTATTATATAAATATCAAATAATTTCTTGGGGAGGGGAAAGACTCCTAGAACCCACAAAACAATTCCTTCATCATCAGAAGTCGAGATTGATCATCAATATTTTGTAAAATTGGTTCAGAGAAACAGAACATGTGTGGTGTGGGCATTTTAAAGTCTCATTTGTATAAGATGTCTCCTATTCTACTTGGAATCTCATCCACAGATTCCCAACTCTTTGAAGTTTCCTTGAAGATCCTGGAGCCCTTCAAAATTTTTGAATTTCAGGTAGGTAAGCATTTGCGCGGATGCATGCGTTAAATTGGTCGACCCTCTCCCTATGTCTGCATCTGTGCTTCATGCTCCTAATTCCTTTTTCCTATCAGCCAGGCAGAACATTCAAGCTTAAAACACTGTCTTTTGTATTCTTTATATTTATAGGCTGTAATCTTGATTAAATATTTTGCTTCAGTGTTTATTAATAAAATGATGCAGGAGTTTAAAAAAAAATCTTTGAAAGGTTTGTTTGATTTTTTTTTTTTTGTTTTTTGAGGGAAAAACCCCAACTTTGCATTTTAGACAGATGAGGGTAATCTCTAGGTCTGCATAGACCTGGCAGAGGTTTGTTCATAATACTTCTGTTGAATTTCTTGTTTATTCAGATAGATTATTTTCTTCATATATTCAGATTTGTAAAGAAGTGCAGATCCTATGAGGGTGCTACAGTATCAAATGATTCATTTGAGCTAGATTTGGAGGCTGAGGAAAAGGACTTAAGTTCTTTGTAGTGTGTTCATCTTCATTTGAAGACTTTTAAGTGAAGTCAGAACAAAGAATGTGTCTTTTATCTGAAACTGTCTTTGGATTACTGATTATCGTCTATCACCAAATGCATTTTCATATAAATTATATCACCTTTACTTCCTTTAAAATGTCCCTATAAGCATGGTTGAATGATAATTCAAATAGTAGCGATAGGCAAATAATCTTGAAAACCCAGAAGTCCGAATGCTGTTAGTTCTATAGCCCATGCAAACATGCCCTTGCCACCAGAATGCTATTTGCTTTCCTAAGAAGCTGATCTGCAATCTCAGGACTTAGAATCCTGATCTCTCAGTAACTGTTTGCAGTTACTGAGAGATCATACACATATTTGCAGTCAGTACTGTCCAGCTGGCTGCCTTTGCCTAAGAAGCAAACCTGCAGAACATGTAATTAATAGTCACTGATCCCTGCTGAGATGCGCATGTTCATGTTGATGTTTATAGTGCTAGGATTTAAAAGATCTGTTAGTAAAGATGTGAAATTTCTCCTGATTAAATATTGTATTAACTACAAAATATTATACTCTTGTTTTCTTAGTCTCACATGTAAGACACATCTTTCTACAAGTAAAAGGATTTCCAGAGTATTCTGTTTTCACTGTGTTCTGTTAATAAAGAAAATAAAAGGTTGGATGATGTCCTCAAGCCAAAAAATTCCCAATCTACACAAATGATTACTTGTACTGAAAAACACCAAATCCAATTCCAAGTTTAGAGGACTTTGTAGTAAGTGGATCCCCTTATTATACGATACTCTCTGTTCTTCTAAGGTTGATCAAAAGCTTCTGGGAAACAACAGTGATGAAAACAAGAGCAGAAAATAAAGGTTGTGAAATTTTTTTCTCAGACTGAATGTCTGGGTTCTGTTGTTTGGTGGTATGGGGTTTTTTTTAAGTGCTGTTCTGTAGAAGTAGTAGGGTAGTAGCAGATGCCTTTAGAATGCTCAAAACTGTGAGATCTTTATTAAATTTTGTGAGGAAATTGACCCTTATGCATCATGTATATTCTTGTTATAGCTTTGGTTTGTATTTATTCCAAAACTTATTTCAGAAGTAGAGTTTCTTTCTTCAGTTTGTCCTCAAATACCTCTACATTCAGTGCTCTTCCTGGGCATTTTGTTGTATGATCCTGGGAAATTTTTCAGGATCTCAGTAATTTATTCAAACATTGGGAAATGAAATAGGTCATAGTGCAGTAATTTCTTTTTTCCTTCTTAGCTAGTAAAATATACCTACTGATTAAAAAAGTTTCAGGTTTTTGCATAGTATATTAAGTAGCTGTTTTTTTTAATGTAGGGCATACAGGTAACATCACTTTGGTTCTTGAGTCTTGAGTTTCTTGAGTCTTTTTTTTGTATTCTTATCCCATGTAGTGAGAACATAATTTTTCTATAAAGACACTTCAAAAATTAGTTTGAGAAATAGAAATTAGCAACCCTCTTGTCAATGCAGAAGTTTTCATTGCTTCCTTCAGGCTACTTTTTTGTCATTTCACAAAGGCCAATTGAGGTACAAGGTCCAGCTTTTAGGATCTTTTTTCCTTGTACTCTTGTGATACTTCTAGGAGAGAAAACAATATGCAAGTGTCAGCATTAGGTTTGGTGACTAGTTATGACCTGATTAATAATGCTTTCAAGGTTTATTTACATTTGTGAGTTTTCATTCTATGGTGGAAGTAGTAGCTTACAAATAGGAGTTTTTCCCTCTACTGGTATAATATTCTGCTGTGGAAAGTGTCTTTTGGGAACATTTCTGCTTAAACTCAACAGATCCAGGTTTTTGTTTTACTGTTGCTCAAAAACATTCTTTAAGCATTGCTTTTTGGCCTTTGATGCTGTGATCATCTGATGTGGGTTTGTTTCTACCCTGTGTTCATAATCTTCACCCTTTTTGTCCACTAAAGGCAAACTGCACAGAAGTACTGAAATTTTTGCCCGTATGTTAATCATTGATACTTGTGGTTTAATTTTTTTCCACGTGACATTGTGGGTTATTTTTTAATATTGGAAGTATTAAGATTTAAAAGTGTTGGTAAAAGGACATCTCTAATAGCATCGAAAAACACTACAATCTGAGCTGTATTTCCCTGGCTCTCAATCGTTGGTGCTATCATCCCATTCATTCATATAGAAAAGGTGTTTAAGATCTGCTATTTCAGAAGAACAAAACCAAATAAAATTTTCAGGTTTTTATAACAGAAATGTGAATAAAAACGTGTTTATTTATTACTTTGCAGTTTGCCTTTGAGAGGCTCTACTTTACTATTATCTAAAGAGTGGGGATATGTGGAGGAGATCCAAAGTAGGAGAAAATGGGGTTACTTTATCAGAAACTGGAGTTCTCCTATTGGGTCATCTCCTCCACTCACCCGCCATCCTCCCCACTGAGCTTTGCATCCTTGTGATTGGCTTCCAGTGTAGTTAAGGGAGCTTGGTACCAACCAAGATAAAGGGAGATGGGTCAACCTGTTTGACACATGCATGCTTACGTACAAGAAATTCAAAATTTCAATGGCTCTAAGGTAATTGTGGCACCCTGAAGGAACTTCAAACAGTGTTTTTCTGTGGAGGAGATTTTCCAATAAAATTCCAGCTAAGGGTAAGTAACCCTGTTATGCCTATTATGTAGATGCCAGAAACTCATGTGTGTTTTGATGCTCAACAGTGAAGAGTACAATTTTAATATATGGTAATGGTACTTATTCTCTTTTGAAGGTAGTCTTCAGAAAAGTGTGGTGTTATTCAAAGTCCAAATCAGTGTATTTTACACGTTTATGACTGGTTTAATTTCTGGCAGGTTTTACTGTGAATGACAGCTACAATCAACAGACTCAGTTTCCAGCTGTACAACAGCTGCAGGATTCAAGCACACTTGAATCTCAGGCTCTTTCAACGAGTTATCCTCCACCAGCCCTTCTTCAGGTTCCAAATACAGACACTATTAACGTAGTAAGTACTACCTGAAGGCAGGATTCATTTTTCTGTGTTCAGTTGTGACTTCCTTGCATAGCTTCATTGGTGACTAGGTAAAACAAGAAGTCAGAAAAGTTTCAGGTTTTTTTCTCTAGATTGCTTATGTTTAACTACTGGAAAATAGAAAGGTGAGGAGAGAATAAGTGCTTTGACTACAGTTTCTGAAAAGGAAGTGGATGTTTTGGTGCTCTAGACTTTAAAAAATACTATAATGTTGGATTGTGAATTTAAAACTAAGGAGAGGATATAATGCTATGAAATAATTAACATTATTTCATTATATTCTCTCCTAATTATTAAATCTATATGTGTATAGGCATATATGGTAAGCAATAAAGAAAAGCATTACAAATCTTTAGTGATCATTCATGGAACTTGCATATTGCAGTGTATGATGGTTTTGCATGTTTCTCAGTTAAATTTGTAGAAGGGCTCAATTGCTAAAAAGTACAGTTTAAATGTAACTTTTTATGACATTAGAAGTACCTAGCATGAAGACAATCTATTGTAATGTATTTACCATGATGATCTCTATGAGTTGCTGTCCCTTGAAGCTTGTTTGCAAAGTGCAAATTTTGTCAGAGAGCTTGTGGGTTTTAGGATCTGGAAGAGTTTGAGTCATTTCAGCCTATAGGCCTTGGTTTCCTAGTCTTCAATTTTGAAATTTCTTGCTCTCAAGGATTATCCTGTTGTGGCTTTTACTTACAGGAATGTTCAGAAAGTAGTGAAGTTTGTCAGCAGCACTGTGTTTTACTGCTTACTCAGTGTTTAAAATGGCTGAATCTAGTTTTTAATTTAACTCCTCAAACACTAAAAAATCAAAACAATTTAGATACATTTTTGTGGAGATTCAGGGAAGCGTAAGTGCACTATGTTGTGTGTTTATTCCAGTTCAGTAGCTGAACATTTTTATGTGTTCCTTCTCACTATGGAAGAGTGAGGTTTTGCACTCTTAATTTCATGTCAAAATGTATGAAAGCATAAATTTAATTAGTTGTGCTGACTGTAAATGCTATAATTTTTTTCTTGCCTGTTTGTGAGACTATATTTAAATATTGTGTTACTGAAATTCACTTGAGGCTTTGATTTTTAGACCACACGCTTGATGCAAGACCAGTCACCACAGGAAGAACTTGAATTGCACTCCCAAAGGCCTCATTTTCTTGAGGATAATGAAGATCAAAGTAGGCGTTCATATAGGTATGTTACACTTCTAGCTTTTGTCACAGAATTTCCTGAATGGGTAATTATTACATGTAGTTATTATGCCTAATAATTACATGAAAGTAATGAAAACTATTTTTTTCTAATAGATGTGAATATTGCAACAAGGGTTTTAAGAAATCCAGCCATTTGAAACAACATGTACGATCACATACTGGTGAGAAACCTTATAAATGCCAGCTCTGTGGCCGTGGTTTTGTTTCCTCAGGAGTTCTTAAGTCGCATGAGAAGACTCATACAGGTAAACAGAGTATAGCAGCTCTATATTAGCTTAACATGTGTTTGGGTTTTGTAAATGTCCTGTGTGAGTAAACTTAAACAAATAGCATGCTACTTATTTGTTTCTGTTACTTTAAGGAGTTAAAGCATTCAGCTGTAGCATTTGCAATACCTCCTTCACAACTAATGGCAGCCTTACCAGGCACATGGCAACTCACATGAGCATGAAGCCTTACAAGTGCCCATTCTGTGATGAAAGCTTTCGAACAACTGTTCACTGCAAAAAACATATGAAAAAACATCAGGCAGTCTCCTCAGCTGTAGCAGCAGCTACAGATACAGGAGGGGGAGGTAAATGATTTCATTTTTACTTTTACAGTCCTTACTACATAAGAAATACAGATGTTTTGGTGGATTACATGAATGCTATAACAGTAATGGTACAAAATAAGCTTCCAGCATGGATAATGTCTGCTGTTTAGAGCTGCTGAAATCACTCTGTTATCTGAATTGTTTAAATAAACTAGTTTTCCAGGATCTATCCAGACCATTAAAGGTATTGTATGTGACATAGCTATTTTAGTATGTCACTAAAGTAGGTATTTTGTCCTGTTTTACTTAACCTCTGTTAGTTATTATAAAGATAAGAATCAGAAATCCAGCTTTTTTTAAAATTAAGTACAGACATGAGTAGTTAGACCTCTGAAAGAGATTAAAGTCCATAGTAGTGCAAGTCCAAGTACAAAATGTAGTGGCTGTGTGTTTATTAATAAATTCTTCTATTTTTGTAATTTAAACTAAATAGAAATGTGGTTTATTGGTTTTTGTTTGTTTTTTTTTTTTTACTTAATAGTTGTGTGTGTTGAAGATGATGATGAGAGCTCTGAAAGGACTTCCAGAAAATCTCGTCCTGGTGTCATAACTTTTACAGAAGAAGAGACAGCAGAACTGGCAAAGATTAGGCCTCAAGAAAGTGCCACTGTTTCAGAAAAAGTTCTTGTCCAGTCAGCTGCAGAGAAAGACAGAATTAGTGAGATCAAAGATAAGCAAGCAGAACTGGAAGCAGAGCCCAAATATGCCAACTGTTGCAGTTATTGTCCCAAAAGCTTTAAAAAACCCAGTGATTTAGTCAGGTGAGGAATGGAAAATGTTAATCTGTTTTTAATTTGCTGAATAGTTCACCAGAAACTTTAGCAATAACAGTTTCATATAACTCTTTATGTCCAAGTTGAATTTAGGCTAATATTCACATAATTTTTTTTTTCACAGTGGTTTAAAAATGTGTCAAAATGTTACATATTCTAAATATGACTAATTCAGCTTTTTCGTATTTATTTTTCTGCTGTATTAAAGTTATTATTATGAAGTTTTAGAATAGTTTTTTCTTGCTCTAAACTGCATATAAAAACATGTAAAAATCTGTTGAAAAACTGCAAATACCTAAATCTTCTTGTTCTGCCTAGTGTAATGCTGGTGTAATTATTTAATTAGTTCTAAAATTAATAAGATAGAAAATAAATATTTGTACAATAAAAATAAGTATTTGTACAAACAGACATAAAAGTAGAATTTCACTTGTACCCTGGAATTATTAGGCATGTTCGTATCCATACTGGAGAGAAGCCGTACAAGTGCGATGAATGTGGAAAGAGTTTCACTGTAAAATCCACTCTGGATTGCCATGTTAAAACACACACAGGTCAGTAAGGTTTTGCATGTCTTTGTTTAGAAGCTGTTTGCTTTCTTCACTAGCTGTTTAAGTACAGATTTTGCAAGGAATGCTATGTTTCATTGGGATCTAGTATTTGTAACTGTGGATGGCAGTGCTAGGGGAAATTTGGTACTTGTGACACTATCAAATGAGTCACATCTGAATAGTCTGAACTAACCATGTTATTACAGCCTTCTCTAGAATTCTAAAGCATGGTCTTAACTCATGCAAGAACTGTGTATGTAAGTGTCCTGAATATGTTTGTGTCAGATGTTCTGTAGTATTTCAATGATAAATGATTTTCCTGAGTAAGGAGGTGGAATTGAGGGAATCTTATATAACTAAGTTAGAGGAAAAAAAACCCTATAAACAATGTTTGTGCTGCTATGTAAACTGGAAAGTAAGAGTTCAAAAATTTTTAGCATTCAGCTGTTTGAATCTTGCAAGTTGAATGTGAACATAGTATCTGTAGTATTTAAATTTTTAGGGTAAGGTTTTGTATTCTTGAGAAAGATCTGATTTTAAAAATAGTAGTATTTTTCAACTACAATTTTGCTCTAATTAAAAAAAAAACCTTCTAAATCTTTCATACTTGTTTTCTTCTTACCACTGAATTTCTGTAATAAACCCAGTCCTGAACTAATTAATTTCGAAAACTGTCTACAGTTAAGTTTCATTATGATCTCTTTTCAAAAATAAAAAAAACAAGGCAGAAAGCTTTTAATGCTGTAATGCATTATTATCTTGCTCATGGAAGCTCCTTCTTCATTTTACTGTATTTTTACTTTCTACTGTTGTTTAGTAAGAAATAGTACTCATTACATGGAATTGTAGTATAGATCAGGACAGACAGTAGCAGATAGTAAGGACAATTAAAGGAACAAGGCAGGGATTGTGTCATGTTACCTCCAGGTTCAAGCACTTTATAAATTGTGGGACTCTGAATAAGTGATTCTATCTCTTTGCTTGCTAGCTTTCATGGAATATTTTAGATTAGTTTTATCCAGTTGTTTTCTGAATGCAGAAAAACTGGGTAAAAAGGAATGGCCTTCAGTACAGTCAGTAGTAGTAAGTTCCTGGATTCAAGTTTGATTTTCTCTTTGTTTTCTTGATAATTTTGTTCCTAAGCCCACTAGATTTTTATTTGAGAATTAAAGAGAAATTGTTTCACCTTCCTGATTTTTAAGCTCTTAATGGTTGTACAGAGTTTTTGATAATATATAATGGAGCATTGTAAATTACTATTTTAACACCCTTAAACAGACTTTCCCAACCTGCTATTCATTCTCTCTTTCACATTACGTACAGTACAATTTTGATGGTTTGAGTCCTTGCTCAGGTGTTTAAGAGCTCTTCTGCTAACTTACAGCCTTGTGAAAATTGTCCATATAAGCCATTTGTGTTCAGTCTTAGAACTGTTTTTCTTTAGTTCATGAAAAGATTCTTTCAGCCTGCGACAGCATTTTTATTAAGGTCTTTTTGTATAAAACTAGTGTAAAATTCCAAAAATCCATATACAGTGGAAATCTGATCTTCAAAGAGCGCTTGCAGATTCATGAGGTGTTATTTTCACTGCAAAAGCCACATCACCTTTTCCCTGTTGTAATTAATTTTATCTTATGGGAGTTTTTTTCCCGTAGTCTTTTATACTTGGGCCAGCCTGTGGTGGATGAAGTTCAGCTAATGTGCAGTTTTTTGTATTTGAGCCTGGATTGCTTCCTGGAATGCTGTCTTAATCTGTGGGCATTACCTACACCTGATAGTTCATTTGTTTTATACCGAGAGATACATAATTTATTTAAATGCACAATAAAAAAGTTTTTACAGTATTAATATCTGTAACTCCCCTAGAAATAGTTCAGTTTCAAAAGCTACTCTGTTCCTCACCTGTAAAAGAAAGTTGCCTACATAAGAACTTACCCGATATCACCTGTAATCAGCATTGATCCAGAGAATTAGTTTGGAGCTTTACTGAAAGATTGGAAGTTTCTCAGTGAGGTATATGGTTATTTGTCTGAACACTTACCTCCTGCTTCCTGATGTAGCATGGAGTGGGATAACTGAAGTCATACGCTATTGCATTTCTGCCTTCATTGCTTTTCCAGTTTCCTGCTTGCAGTTCTTTCAGATATATTGTTTCAGATAACAGTTCTTGTTAACATGTTAGTTGTGTAGCCAGTAGTGTGGCATGTCAGTGGCATAAAACACATTTAATTTTTGCTATATTTGGAAGCAATGCCAGTTTAGTGTTTGCCATTCCTTGATGACTTTTCATCTGAATTTGTGATCATCTTCCCTCCAAGTTTCCCTTGTGGATGCTAACTTAAAACTATTAAACTACTGAAAACAGTTGAACCATCTTTCTTTTTTTCTTTTCAGATTCTTAGTATTTACACAAAAGGCCCAGGAATCAGCTCATAATCTCATTGCATATTTAAATAACAGGACTTCAGATGTTCTGTTTGTTCCTTCCTGCTTTTTTTTTGTTGGTTTTCTTCTCTCTCTCTCTTATTTTTCCACCCCACTTTCTTCCAATGAGTGGGGATTTTTTTTATTTACTAGGGAAGTCTGCTGGATGGCATCCTTTGTGACACTGTGAATATGGTAGATGACTTTGCTGCAGCCCAGATTCCCATTGTTTCACTTGTTCATGTTATTGGGCTCTTTCTTCTCCATTTTTTGAAACAGAACATTGTCAGACGTTTACGTAGTTTTGTTTAACAGAAAGTGACAACAGTATGCCAGGGTTTTGTAATTTGAAGTAGTTGAATTGTAGTTCAGGAAATTGATGAGAGACTCTTCTGTGTAAATGGAAACTAGAACTCAATAGCAGCGCTCATAGGCACAGTTGCTTTTGTGATTTCTTTACTAAATGCATTGGTTTCTCTCCCTCATTTAGCTAGGAAGCAATATTGTGCTGGAAGGCCTGGGAATATCAGGAGTAATAGTGGGTTTTCAGCTGCAGTGGCATGTTTTCTGCCAGATAGTTACATTATGCTTTTTGTGAGTTGTATAGCTCTGCATATGGTTCAAAGAATAAACTCTGTAGTTTGCTGTTACCTGTAGTGCATTAAAAATTCTATTTGATACCAAGGATATTTTTCAGATGTTATGCACTCTGAAAGGAGAGACAAAGAGGTCTGTATATGTATGGACCAGATTTCTGTACTTCTGGATTAGTTTGTGGGGTTGATATTTTGTTTTAGAATGTTATCTCACTTTTAATAATTACTTAATTGTAATCCATTAATACCAGTTAGTTAAGGCAGCATTGAAACAGAATAATAAAGCTGCTGGAATTGAAAAGAAAATGAGTGGCTAATTTAGTAGGAGCCAAATGCTGAAGAGGACAAGATGAAACTTTTAATTCTCCAGTCAAATAAGATTCTGCATGAAAGCTTTAAAAGCATAGGGAGTTTTAGTAAAAGGAAAAAGTAAATATGCTCTTCATTGAGAACCTTTATTCATCTGAAAAGCAGCCAAATGATAAAGTCCAATTGTTTCTAATTTATGCTGTTCAAATTAGTTTAGAATCCATTATGGGGTTTGTTAAATTGATGATTTAGTCCTCTCAATCTTTTTAGAGGTTTAATCACTTATTTTTCTGTTTTTGAAACTTTTCTAGGCCAGAAGCTCTTCTGTTGTCACGTGTGCAGTAATTCTTTTTCTACAAAGGGCAGTTTAAAAGTCCACATGCGTCTGCATACGGGAGCAAAGCCCTTCAAATGCCCCCACTGTGATTTGCGGTTTCGTACTTCAGGGCGCAGAAAAACCCACATACAGTGTCATTATAAGCCAGATGCAAAGAAAGTTAGGAAACCTGCTGCCCGGACTTCAACTGAGGGATTACAACCAGTCAGTCTTCTTAATTCATCCTCAACAGACCCTAATGTTTTCATCATGAATAACTCTGTTTTGACGAGTCAGTTTGATCAAAATTTGCTTCAACAAGGACTTGTGGGCCAGGCTATCCTGCCTGCTTCAGTGTCAGGTAAAAATGGATGTAGTGGGAGTTGTGGTGTGGTGATCAAGTTATGAAATTTGCTTTCTATTAGAGTTTGGAAAGTTTTGCTAAATGCTGTTTGTCAAACAGCAGGTAAGAGTTTTACTGAATTATTGGTTTGATGTGCACTGGTGACATGAATAGAAATTTACTTATTTAAGAATGAAAGAAAAATATATGCAGTTCACCTAAAAGTCTTTTCAGTTCTGCTGTGGTATTGCACTGCAGAGAGGAAGAAAATGCAGATAACAAATAGCTGGAGTACTTGTATTCTTTGTGGTAATACTTTCTTGGTTTTATTTAAAAAGAAAAGAAGCCAAACAGTTACTCTGTTTGTCTACACTGACTGTTTATGTGAATAATGAAGAGGGTCTTTTAAGTGCATATTCTCTGTGGTACATGTGTAGTTATTTCTCCAAAATAAAAAAACACATCCATGCCAAAGTAAAACCAACCAAAAGACTCCCAACCTCAAAACAAAGCAAGAAAACTCTTTAACAATACAACAAAAAGTAGTGTAGGTCTGTATGTTAGATAATTAAGTGCCTAAGATACGAAGTCTCACTAATTGACATTGACTACAGCTGCATTAGCACATTATTCTTTGAGACCAACTGGCGTAGAATACCCAACATGCTTCATGTTGCAAGAAAGTGACCTTTTGAGAATGATCCTTGCTTATTTCTAATTTTTTTTCAGGTATTTTTTGTGTAAGTGCTCACTGACCCAATGTTTGTGTAAGTGCTCAGGTAAACTTGGGACAGGAACGATTTTAAAAGCAGAATAGTGTTAGGATGTCTGGAGATATGCCTTAGTTCTCTTAAATGTACTACTTAAATTCTGGGTCTTGGACTGTCTGTCATTTCTGAAAGTGAGACTTTGATTTTACGTGCTTTGGCATTTTTTTTCAGTACATGTCTATGATGTTGCAGGTATGCCCACAAATTCAGAGTATTATATCAGTCTCATGCTTAACTGTAGCCATTGCAGCTTATCTGATTTAATCTAAACTGTTGTCCAAAATGAACAAATTGTTGATGTTCAGAAGATACTGATGTTACTTGACAGGCACAGTTAGTGATAAACTTGTGATGAGAAATCAATTGATTTGTTTGCTTGGATTTTTGAACATAGTAAGGTGGAGTGTTTAGCTTGTTCAGATGTCCTAAAAAAAGACCTTCTTAATTTGAGACTAATAATGTGGATTTTGGCTAGAGCAGGTATTTTTTGGGTGCTTTGTAAACCAGATTTGTTATACTAAAGAATTCTGAAGAGGAAAGGATAGGTGTTTTTGAAGCATCAACCAAAGGAAACTGGTTGATCACATTCAAGGTGTTTGGAGAAGAACACAAGATTACTTTTTACATATGTGCTGTCAAGACCTTTTGTAGAGATAGCCTATTCAACTTTTGAAATTAGAACCTTTTCAAGTTCTAAAGACTTTTGGATTTCAATTGCTAATGCACCTTTATTTTCATCCATGTAAGTACAGAGGATGAACTTTGACAGTTTGACACTAAACCATATCTGTGCTATGCAGAATGTGACAGGAACTTCTATGTGTATGTCCAGAGTAATGAGCATTGTTCAGAGTAAATGAACAGAACATAAATACCCTGTGTTTGTGCTGCTTTGTTTAGGTGCAGCACACTCTCCAAGGAAATTTAAACCAAATTTCTCCAGGTTTCTAGTGATACTCTGGAGGGATTCTTGTTTTGTAAGCCACTTGGTAGTGCCTAATAGCAATCCTTAAATCACATGGAATTTATGAAGCTTTAAAACAGGCAGTCAAATTACTTTATAATCAAATTCTGCACTTCAAATTATCTTCCTTGTCATAAATAAATGTGTGTGTATGTAGCTTTTATATTGACTTAATTTGTAAAAATAAGCACAGTGAAAGCGGTAGTCAGTAAATGGTAAATAAAAACATTACAATATAACTATTTTCTTTGGTAGCTGGAGGTGACTTAACTGTGTCCTTGACAGATGGTAGCTTGGCCACACTTGAAGGAATACAGTTACAACTTGCTGCTAATCTGGTTGGACAAAATGTTCAGATTTCTGGAATAGATGCCACTGGTATTAACAACATAACATTACAGGTAAATTGTTCACTGTTCCTTGCTTCTAATTCTGTAGAGTCACTTTGAGGGCTGAAGAAAGTTTAAGGAGCCTACATAATTCTGGAGGAGTTCTTGAGTTGAGTGAGCTAGTAACATACTATATAACTTGTACAATGTTAGAAGACTTAAAAAATAGCTGCACAGTGGGGTATATTTCTGGTTTGATTTCTTTAGTTTTCATTTTTTTCAGGATTTTTTACCTCTCGGGGATTTTGATAGACTGCTTTAAAATGTGTATTTTTTTTTTTTTCTTTTAATTGCATTTTGTCTTTACACTTCAAAAGTACTTTAGGCTCCCACCCAACCTCCAAAAGGCACCCACCCACCCCCCAAAACAAACTCAAAATATTGCATGGAGTGTTCTTTTCTAAACATTGTTACTTGGCAAGCTTTTAATGGTTGAATTCACAATTTAAATTCCCACTGAGCTTGTAAAAAGAATGAGAGAAAGAGGTGAGATTATTGCATTAAAAAGTTCTTGAGATGTGTGAGATGATGATTTTCTTGAACATGGTTGTGTTTGATCAGTTGCACAGAATTATTGTTGTTGCAGGAGCCCTCTGGAGGTTACCAGGTACAACCCCAGGGTCAGGGAAGGGACATCTGCAGAGTTGTACTGAGTTGCTCATAGTCCCTCTGTTCAAGGAGTTTTTAGCATAAAATGGAGACATTTTCATTTTGTTTTTCTCAGCTGCTAAATATATCTGAAGAGGAAAATGTCTTATCTTTAAGTATAGAGAACAGTTGTTGGCTTGTGAAATGAGACCTTAATGACACCTAGGAGCTGATAACTTAAATAATTTCTGCTATCAATCTTCTCTCTGCTCCATGCCTTTTCACTTCCAAAGGCTTGGAGACTGTGATAAGCATTACATGCACTCATAGGGCAGTATCCAGAATACCAGCAGTGTGTTTACCTAGGGCCAGGCATGCTGATATGTAACTGATCATGATTTCCCAAACATTTTGCTGAAGGAAGGGAGGGAAAGTGAATATGAATAGGCTGATTACATAGTCACTTTAGAGACTGGCTATATGCAGATACATAAAAACTAAATTTAAATTTTAAATTGTTAATTATAAACTTTCAGTACTGTATATACTCTCTATGCATTAAATATATACTCTGGATTCATGTTAAGAATATTCATTTTACCCAGTTTGTTAACTTCAGATTGATTGCTGAAAACTTGTTTTTCAGATCGATCCAAGTATCCTACAGCAGACATTACAGCAGACATTACAGCAGAGTAGTTTACTTACTCAGCAGCTGACTGGAGATCCCACCATGGCTCCACAGAATCCCTCCCTCCAGGCAACAGAAAATGCAGTGCCAGCTAATGTGGTTATTCAGCCTATATCAGGCTTGTCTTTGCAGCCCACAGTAACATCATCTGCTAACATGACAATAGGGTCCCTGTCTGAGCAGGAGTCCGTGCTGACTACCAGCGCTAATGGTAAGCACTGTCAGTAATTTTATTGTGTGCTCAATTTCTTAATTTTACTCAGAGTATTATTCACAGTGAGAAAGTCACCCCCTGCCTCCCCCACCCCCACCAAACATCTCATTTTAATAAAATAAACTTGCAGTTCTTACTTGAGCATTTTGAGCAAATTTTACAGCTTTGTGTTACCCTTTCCTAATACAATTTTTTTTTCAGAAGGTGAATTAGAGAGAGTAGGTTTAGATTAGATATTAGGAAGAAGTTCTTTACTGTGAAGGTGGTGAGGCACTGGAGCAGGTTGCCCATTGAAGCTGTAGATGCCCCATCCCCAGAAATGTTCAAGGCCAGGTTGAATGGGGTTTTGAGCAGCTTGGTGTAGTGGATGTCATCCCTGCCCATGACAGGGTAGTTGGAACCATGTAATCTTTAGAGTCCTTTCCAACCCAGGCCATTCTATGATTCTAGATAATGAAAATACTTAAGATCTGCCATAGTTTTGAGCAAAAGACAAAATCTTCATTCAGAAAATCTCAACTAAAGAGAAATAAATTTGGATGTGAAAAAAAATTTATACTTTCTCCTGCAAGTTCTAGCATCTCCCCTTGGCTGCATCGATTATGGTAGCTCAGTGCTTTCAAGAGTTGTGTCAAAAATTCCACCAAAGGATATTAATGGAATTTTTTTTTCTACCATTTTCGTTTAGGTGCACAAGACATTACTCAAGTAATGACTTCACAGGGTATTGTGTCATCTACAAATGGACAACATGAGATAATGTTGACCATAAATAATTCCAGTTTGAGTCAAGTTCTAGCTCATGCTTCAGGATCTACTACTGCAACCTCATCAGGAAGTCCTCAAGAAATCACTCTTACAATATCTGGTTTGTGTTTTTAAAAATCTTTAATGATGCCAGATGTCTATTTCATAGAGTACCTGTACACTAGCATATGAGGATTTTCACAGGCCACAGTTTTCCCATGGCATATTTTTCTTATATTCATCAGCTTTAAAAGATACTCCCCAAATTCACATTTGAAACACAAACACTTTTGCCTTAAGAACACGTTAGATTGGTTCACTGTTTTATTCATAGCCTCAGTTAACAGCTGGATTTTTACATATTGGTCAAGTTGGTACTTTGAATCTAAAGAAGTAAGATCCATATTTGTCTAAATATTACTAATCTCAGGTATTTCTGTACATGTTAGTATCTGGATTTTTATAATCACATCTGTATTAAAAATGTGTCAAACTGCTGCATAAAAATCTGCATGTGTAGAAGTTAACTTTATGTTTTGGTTGTATTTTCTACTTATTTTATGATCTATTGTAAGAACAGTGCAAAATAATGTTGAGACTATTCCAGTTACAGTAGGAGTTATTTCTATTCAGGCCAAGATCTTATTCAGCATAATTCTGGAAGCACTGATCTGAACACTGGCTTAAGGCTGACAGCACCAACCATCAGTCAGACCACAGGTGCTACACTAACTATAAGCAATGACCAGCTTCTTTCTCAGGGCCCTTCACTAAATGCTCCAGGTATGCATACAATGTTTTTTCTAAACAAATAATATTTTGTTTAAAAAGTAAATACTAGAATTAAATGATACAATCTTGTGTGTCATGATTCAGGAACTTTGAGTGTTTTATGTGTTGTCTCACAAGCTTAAAATTGTTATGTCAGTTTAAATGAACTTTATTCCACACTGTAGGAAAAAAATGAAAACAAGAAGGCACGTCTTAAATTAGTACTTTGAGGCAGTTAAAGGAGTATTGAAAGATTATATCTATAAAGTGGAGGACGACAAAATCTGATGCCTTCACTGCAGAAGTGATAAAATACCAAATTTGTTCTAGTACTCAAATTTTGAGATTTTAAGTATGTTTATGAATTTCGACCTATATATGTTTGTATATGCACATGACCACCTGTGAGTGCAATACTGTGTTCATGAAGCTACACTTAAATGTAATTTTTCTAATTTTATCATCTGACTGATAACTGTAGGTTCTTGATTAGCAGTTCTAACTGATTTTGTTGATTCCACAATAGAAAATCCTAGCAAAGGGAAGCAAAAATTACTAAGTTCACGTAAAATAAATTTGTAGTTTAGTGTTTATGTATGTAACAGATTTTTTTTTTTTACCATTTTGCATATGTTCCAGAACTTAATACAACAGGGGGAGCAAACCTTCCTCCAGCAACACCCATATCTCAGTCTGCAGTTTCTGCACAGAATTTGGTGATGTCTTCATCAGGAGTTGGAGGAGATGGTAGTGTCACTTTGACTCTTGCTGACACTCAGGGAATGTTGTCAGGTGGTCTTGATGCAGTTACACTTAATATCACTTCGCAGGTAAGAGGCTTTTCTGAACTGACAGATAAATTTATCTTGCTGTCTTACAGAACATAATTTCTTTTGCTTAGAATATAATTTTTTCCTGCAAATACATAATATTTGATATTTTAGTTAATTTTCCTTCTCTCTGCCAACCATATGAGTTTGGCATCTAGAAAAGCGAACTCTTGGAACAGAAGTGCTGATAAATTTTGCAAGGTTGTTTGTTTTTTTAAATTAAGAGATGGATTCTACTATTTCAAACATGGTTTGAGATAAGTTTTTGGTGTTAGGCTATGTACTTCATTGTTGTCATTCAGTAATATAGCTTAGTACTCCTTAATATATTATTTCATTTGGTAAATTTTTCTTTTCCTACTTGTGAATGGGAGAGTTGAAAGCAGTTGTGACAGTTCTTTTCACAGCAAGTAACAGGACAGAATTTAATTGACTATCTTTAATTACAGGTGGCATTGTAAGAAATTTTATAAACATGGTGCTGTATGGACTATAATCTCTCCAGTAACATTACTATTAGTTTCATTTATAGCATAACTTAAGAATTTTGTGTTGTCATCAAGACAAATAGAATCTACAGAGTGGGGAGATAAAAAATAATATTAAAAGACAACAAAGTGCAAAGGTTGTTTAGTTGACATTTCAAGGTAGATTTTACATCTAAAAACTTGGGCTGTTTCTTCTATTTTCTTTGCTTAACAAGGTTTAAATTGATTTTTATTTACTTTTTGACTTCAATTAGTATGTAAGTGTATACAAATTAAATACTGTGCTGTGATTAAAACTGGTGAAGCAAAATTATATGCTTTCCTCTGCAGTTTTGCTGTGGGGAAGAGAAGAAAAGCTTTCTTAAATAATTATTATGATATGTTTGTGATTTCTGGTATCAGAGAGTAACAAAGCAGAACATGGTTTCATTTCAGGCCTTGTAATAATTTCAGTGATAACATTTGGCAATGTTGCTGTTTATGGATAAGATCCTGTGCCTCCTATTAAGACAAGCATAAATAAAATTGAAACACTGAAGAATAATAATGGCTGTGCAAACACAGTTTATGTTGCAAGAAATTATGGTGAATAGACAGGTAGTATGTAAAAGAGCTGTGTTTCCCTGGGAAATTGAAAAGTCTTTAAGAGTAGTGTAAAAACAGAAGGAGTAAGATATTAGTAATCATATATCCTAAGTAGTGATTTTGTATCATGATTTCATGGGGTTTGGAAGTATGTTTAATCAAGAGATTTAAATAAAGGAAGATACCATGGGAAGGCCATGCAGGAGAGCAGAATACAGGGGATAAAGAAAGGCAAGTGGGAGGCTAAAACATTTAGCATTTCATGCAAGGCTGGAAAAAATTAATCGGAACTGAATCTAGTCTTGCAAACTTCCAGCTGTTGTTACCCTTAAATGGTTAGATATAAATTTAAAGGACAAAAGGAAGGAAAACTGTTGCATTTGTTCAGATAGGGTTCTGAAATGTTTCTAAAGAAAACAGAAAAGTAGTGTTTTGGTGTGAAAACGTATATTACTCCAGTCAACTATTTAAATACAGCTTTTTAAATATAGTTACTCTTTTTCTGTGCTCCCTCCTCTGACAGGGTCAGCAGTTCCCTGCTATACTCACAGATACCAGTCTTGCTAGCCAAAGTGCATCAGCATCACAGCAAGTAATACTGGTGAGCCATACACCCCATTCAGCACCTGCAAACTCTGATGAAATAACATACCAGGTAGATACTCTGTATTTCTGTATCTTTTGTGGTAGAGGACTTTTATTTAATCAGAATACTGGAACAATGTCTTTTTCTCTTGAATCATCAAGGCTGATGTCATTCCCAAACAAGAGTTTTGGGAACAGGTTCTCTGTGACTTCCTAGTCACGCAAATGCCATTTTAAGTTTTGAATTAAAAACCACTTTCATATATATATATATATACATGCACACAAGGAAAAAATGTAATTCATAATGTATTTCTTTCTACAAATCAATAATAATGTGCTCAACGCAGACTGCTCCAAAGATTTCCAAGTAAGTTGGTATTTAGATAATAAAAATAGATAAATTTTGGAGCTGTGGGGAAAAGTAGCACCTGTTGTTTCTATCCTCTTTGTGTATCCAAGTTGTTTCAGTGATGGTGCAACATGAAGTCTGCAACTTTTTGCACCTTTGAATCACAATAGGAACTCCTACATAAGTAATACCGTTTTGGTATTAGATAACATGGTTCAGAATTGTTTTCTTGAAGGCAGAATGAATGTTGTCAACTGGCGTGGTAGGGTAAGCCCTAAAAGAGGAGAAATGAGAGATAAATGGTGATTTGATTTGTTGCTTTCTCTGTTGCTGTACTTAGGATTCCTCTGTATCTATAAAGTTGAATTTGGTATTAAAAAGGAATTTGGTCTTGAATTACTTGAAGAAAATAGTTTTTCCAGGCAGTTCTCACAAATTAAAGCAATAATACAGCACACCACCATCCAATTCGATCAATTTTTCGTTGTGTTTCAGTACTTCTGGAGGTAGACCTTTACTTCCTTATGAAAATAGAATCCCCAATAAAGAAGTTAAACAAATAGAAAATATTCTTCTTTTCTACAGAATCAGAGATAACTTTTTTCCTGCCTGGAATGCTTTTGGCTTTGAATTTTATTTGGTGGCAAATTGAGGATCATCGGAGTTGTTCAGGAGTATAAAACTGAATGTAGAAAAAAATGGATACACATATTCTATTTATGATGTGTTAAGTCAATTTGATCATAGTTACTAATGTTGTTTTCTTAAAATAAATACATGTGTCATTCTTTAGAGCAATGAAATACCAAGTTCATATTTACATATAACTGACTTCTTTTGTGTCTGTATGTTACTTGCAGATGCTCTCCAAAAATTTGTCATGTTGAGATAGATTTTAAAAAATATACCAATGTGAATGTGCTTATGAAATTACCTGATAGTGTATTTGTAAATTATTACAGGTGACAGAAGTTTCCCCTAATGTGACTAAAAGCAGTCAAGCAGAAAAAGAAACTCGTGGGCACCAGTGTTTTGAGTGTAGCCAAACCTTTTATTCTGTCACCATGCTGACGCACCACTGCAAAGAGGTTCATGGCAAGGAGCGAATACACGTTTGCCACATCTGCAATAAGGCCTTTAAGAGGGCAACACATCTCAAGGTATTTGGTAATAACAGCTGATTGTTCTCTTAACTCCTTTTGTTTTGGACTTTCTGTGATATTAACAAAAGGTACCTATTAGCCCTTTGTTTTTGCTTTCCCTTTACAGTGTGAGAGGTGTGCATCTGAGAGAGAGGGAGTCTAAGTGATAATGTATGCACAGATAGAGAACTGGAGCATGGAGAGGATTTTAATGCATATATTGACTACAGAATGAAAAATGTTAATGCCTGTCATGCAAGTATTAGTGTCAGGCAAAGATTTCACTCACTTTATTTGTATATGAATATCATTAGTGCTAATCCTCATCTCCAGATAATCTTTTGGTATCTCAGGAAGTTACCTGCTTTACAGTCTTATCATTTCATTTGTCGACACTCTTTCATGTGAGTACAAGTGATAGAGGAAACATTTGTTTTAAAATGTCTTTATATTATTGCTGTTGTCTAGTGATGTTTTCTCTAGATTATTAACAATCTAATACTTACAAGTCTTTTGAAAAAATCAGTGGTGTATCTAAGTTCTTAATTGGATTATAGAATGTTCTTATTAGGAATACTGAGCTGTACTAGACAAGTGCTTTTTTCAGGCCAGTATCTTACCTCTGAGAGATATTTAAAGGAAGTAATTTGAAGAAGAGCTTTAAGAAAAGAGTAAACATATAAGTTGCCCAGAATTTTGCCAGCTTCCCAGAATTTATAGTAAGGCATTTTTGGAGCCAAAGGCAATGTATTTATATTATTTATATTATCTTTATATTATTTTTATATTTATCTTAGCTTTTAGGAGAGCTCTTCAATAGATTTCCTTTCACTTTGATATAATATTTTAATGACATATACTCTCTTTGTGAAGTTCACCCTCTTGGAATTATCATGTCTGTCAACTACATTATTAGAAACTATAAAGTGTTGTTGTGAAACTCTTAACCTCTGAGTTAGAAGAAATTTTCCAGGAAAAAACCCAAAGGAGTCGTGATACTTGTTAATGATAACAAACTCCAAAAATCAATCTCTTCAGTTTGTTTTCTTAAAACTGGGCCCAGGTTAAAGATATGACAAGATAGCTTCTTACCCTAGTATGTCCCTTGGATTATTATCCATAAGTAATTTTTCAGGAAGGCAGCGATCAAAATTGCAGTAAGAAGTTCAGAGGCATTCACAAAACACTTCAGGCCCTTGGGACAATTGTAAAGGGATCAGAAGCACATGTAATCTCCTCCTCTGTCCTTCCAGTTGCAGGGAGTGGTGTAGGAAGAGCCAGCAGATCAGAAGCTGCCTCTGAGACTGGCATCACCAGCAGAATTTAGGCGTTTTTGATCATGGATTGGTCTACACAACAGCAGGCCTGCTGCAGATGGGCTACACTTATCTCAAAGGGGCAAAAAGATCTTTGCTGAGGAGTTACCAGGGCATGTTGAGAGATATCATCTAACCTACATTTGTAGGGAGGAAGGGGTAAAACCAGATTTGCTGGAGATAAGCTTGAGGGCAGCATGCCAGTGTTTTAGGGTTTGTGTGCCAGTGAGGCCCTTCAAGCTCCACCCCAGTGTGCTGAATTCACTGGAGCGCGTTTGAAATGTCCCTGTGCTGGTGCATGCAGCACCGCAGCCATCTCAGTGGAGGGAGGGGAAATGGTCAGTGACCTGCTACACCACTTAGACATTCACAAGTTGTCTATAGGACTAGATGAGCCCACCCAAGGGTACCAACGGAGCTGTTAGAAGAGCTTGCCAAGCCATTTTCCATCATTTATGATGAGCAGTGCTGGCTAACCAGGGAGGTCCAAGTTGACTGGATCTTAGCACCTGTGATGCCCATCTACAAGGGCTGGAAGTAGGATCTGGGAAACTATGGGCCTTTCAGCCTGATCTAAGTGCCAGGAAAGGTTATGGAACAGCTCAAGTGCCATCACGTGGCACATGCAAGGACAGCCAGGAGATCAGGCTCAGTTAGTATGAGTTTATGAAATGAAGGTCCTGCTTGAGTAACATGATTTCCTGTGACAAAGTGACTTGCTCAGTGGAGGAGAGAAAGGTTGTGGATGTTGTCTACCTGGTCTTTAGCAAAGTCTTAGACACTGTCTCCCACAGCATTCTTCTGGAGAAACTGACTTGGATAGGTTTACTGTTTGCTGGGAAAAAAATGGCTGTATGTACAGGCCCAAAGAATAGTGGTGAATGGAATTACGTCCAGCTGATGGCCAGTCACAAGTGGTGTTCTCCAGGGCTCAGTACTGGGCTGGTTCTATTTAATATCTTTATCAATGATCTGGACAAGAGGATTGGGTGCATTCTGAGTCATTTTCCAGACAACACCAAGTTGGATGGAGTGTTGGTGTGCTGGAGGGCAGGAAGGCTCTGCAGAGGGATCTGGACAGGCTGGATCAATGGGTTGGGGCCGTTTTGGGAGGTTCAACACGGCCAAGTGTCAGGTCCTGCTCTTGGGTCATGAAAAATCCCAGGCAGCGCCACAGGCTGGGGGCAGAGTGGCTGGAAAGCTGCTGGTGGAAAAGCAGGAGTGCTGGGAGTGCTGATCAACAGTGGCTGAACAAGAGCCAGGGTGTGCCCAGGTGGCCAAGGAGGCCGATGGCTTCCTGGCCTGTATCAGCAATGGTGTGGCCAGCAGGAGCAGGGCAGGAGTTGTCCTTCTGTACTCAGCACTGGTGAGGCTGCGCCTTGAATCCTGTGCTCAGGTTTGGTCCACTCACCTCAACAAAGACATTGAGGTGCTGGAGTGTGTCCAGAGAAGGGCAACAGAGCTGGTGAAAGGTGAAGAGCACAACTCTTAGGAGGGAAGTTGGGGTTGTTTAGCCTGGAGAAAAGGAGCCCGGGGGGGGGGGGGGGGGGGGGGGGAGAAGGGGGGGTCACTTAACACTCTGTACAACTACCTAAAAGCAGATTGTGGCCAGGTGGGGGTTGGCATTTTCTCCTGGGTAATGAGCAATAGGACAAGAGATAATTACGTCAGTTATGTTAGAGGAGGTTTAGATTGGATATCAGGGAAAATTTCTTCACTGAAAAGCTTGTCAGGCACTGGCACAGCCTGTCAAGGGAAGTTGTCGAGTCACCGACTCTGAAGGTGTTTAGAAGATGTATAGATGTGGCAGGCACTATGGACAGTGTCTTAGCAGACATAGTTTAGTGATAGGCTTGTCAGGGCTGTTGAAGGATTGGCTTTGATCTTAAAGGTCTTAAAGGACAGTTTAATTTACCGCTGGACCATCAAGTACTAAAACAAATTCCACCCCTTATCAGAATCTTTTCTTTATCAAGGTGTTAATAGCAGCTTCAGCTGTGAGCAGTCTTTAACAGAAAATTCAAAGATAAATATTGGGGTTTGGCTAAGGATTTTAGGAAGAGTTCAGTGATCAGTTACTCATGGTCTTCATTTTATACTGATGGAATTCTGGAGATCACCAGAAATATAAAGGGCACTACCAAACTAAAAACTTTTCAGAAAAATCCAGTAAGGTTATCAGTGTTTAGATGCCAGTACTTAACTGTATGTGTTTTTTCCAAAGATGTCAGTACCAGAATTTTCACAATTATCCACAAGAAAATCCTCTTTAGAGATCATGTCCAAACACCTCCACCACCCACCCCACCCCCTGTGTTAAGGCTTTTTAGTCTACTGACTCAGTTCCCCTTCTGATGTGGGTTACTGTCCTGTTCTACAGCTTCAGAAAGGGGAACCTTAAGACATGCACAGTGACTAAACTGTCCAGTTTCATATGAGTATGTAGTGGAAGTATCTGGAAGTTGATTGTTGATAGTAAATAAGGCACAGACATGATTCCAAGATGAAAGGAAAAGACCTTATTATCTTATTAAAACAATGGAATGAAAAAAACCTTTTACTGCCACACATTCAGAGGTGGTTACAATTAGTTTCAGGAGTGATGGGTTATAAGAGTGGCATACAAATGCCTGAGCCATTTCAAAGAAGGTTTCCTGATCTTATTTTTTAATTAGATAATGCTTGTTTCCTACCCCAAGATAATTACTCTCTGAAAAATATAAGAATTGCACAAATAAAGTTGTAAAATATCACATGAACAATCAGTGAAATACTAACTAGGTCAGTAAAGAGATGATTGCACTTCAGCATGTTGCATTTCCATGAACTATTTTCAAAAGTATATTTATTTTACAGGAAAAGTATAAGAGGTGCACAGATCAGTGGAACAGAATTGCATCACAAACTGTTTCTTCAAAGAAAGTTGGCAGAAAGTTTTACAGGGCTATCTGGATGAAATATTGTTTACATTCAAGTAGAAGATGGGGTGGGAGTTGTTGGGATTTGGAGGTTTGGTTTTTTTGTTTGGGTTTTATGGTGAAAGAAGGAAGCAAATAATTTCAGATAATTTTTATGAAGTAGGTTATAGTATGCTTCCACCATTTCAATGCTTGAGGGGGTAATGAACAAGATAAAATCTAAAGATTTTGTTTATTTCCACCTAAGCAGGGGTTTTAAGATACTTAATTTTTCTCAGAAGACCTTATATTATTTCCCTATAATACTCTATTATTATAAGTACTGTGATAATAATATTCTTCCATGTAACTGTCTCGCTGATTTTCCAGTGTAAACAAATTCTGCAGACACAGTTTGCTTCAGTTCGTGGAGTGAGGAATAGAACTTCATAGACATCAAGAAGGCTTATTGTTTAGGTATAGTAAAGACTAATTAATAGTTTAGTTTGTAATCAAATAGACTAGAAAAGAATATCCACATACATTTTAGAAAGTGGTCAAGTATTTGTAGTACTGTTTCACAGACAGTTCTTGATTAGATTTTTAAAGTTATATATTTTTAAATTTATTTTCTTTTTTAATCTGAAAATTATCTTGGTATTAATAAGTAAATTTAAAATGAAAAAAAAATAGATAAAATAAATACTCTAAGTTTGAAAAACATCTGGGCCCAGCACCAGTGTATTAAAAACACTGAAATTAGAACTGTTATTGATGCTTCTTCTTGAAGATAAAACATCCTGCTATCTTACCATTAAGAACCTTAATGATTTAATTTTCTGGTGTTTTTTTTCAATTAAGAGTTCACTGTGAAGTGGTTCTATTTGCATCTTGCCATCGTGCAGCTGTGTGTGTGTATGTTGTGATAGTTGCCTCTTTGAGGCCTGTGCAGTTTGACAGTGTTACCAATTCAGGTGCTGAGGAATGCCCATATATCAGACAAGTAGGGCGATGGATACTGTAGAGGAGAGGATGAAAAAATCCTTTGTTAGTTGACAATGCACAGTTGTCAAAATACCTCTTTGTAGATGAACAGAGCATTTAAGGACCTCTGGTTTGGTTTTCTGTATTTTGTTTTGCTTCAGATAATTAGTGAAGGGACTAATGTATGCCAAAAATGAAAGATACACAGTTATTGATGGAGTTTTTCAGAAGTGTGAAGACAGATGGTTAGAGAGAGTTGATACACAAAAATAATCTCTCATTTAAAAGGAAAAAAAAAAAACAATGCAGGCTTCCATTTTCTTCCAGCTTGTCTGCTGATGACGTAAGATCCTCTGCTTTTGTCTTCAAGGTGTGAATATATTTTTATTTTAAGTACTGAAATATTTTTAAATGGTCTGAAATATTTTTTTTCCTGTGCTGGCTTAGGAACACATGCAAACCCATCAGGGTGGACCTTCACTGAGTTCCCAGAAGCCCAGAGTGTTTAAGTGTGATACTTGTGAAAAAGCTTTTGCTAAGCCAAGTCAGCTGGAGAGACACAGTCGCATCCACACAGGTGACACCAGAAATTGTTTTTATCATGAGAGGCTTTCTTATGAATGTCTGGGTGTTATGTTTGGAGCCCTTGCTTATGCTTTTCAGCTAACTGCATTTAAATATGAACTTAAGCTTAAAAAACCAAATAAATTTCTTACTTCAAATATTTGGAAATTAAAAGGAGGAACAGTAAACTTGAAAATTCATGTGCTTTGCTCAGCTAATCTGTATTGTGGGACTGGCGGTACTGCAGTGATAATGTGAGTGCATGAGCTTGTGTCTAAAAGTTCGTCAGCCTTTGAAACAGATTAATAAAAGCATATTTTAAAGTATTGTTTGAAGTGATTTAAAAACACTGGTTATGATCATCCTCAAACATATAGAAGAATGTGCAAATGAGAGGTGTGCTCAGTGGCGTTAAACAAGGGGTAGGTTTGACTGCTGATGTTGACTGCTGTATGCAGTGCTTCATTGTCATTGAGCTACTTACACAGGTCATCTGTTTCTAATGCCTGTGCTTCTAATTTGTTGTGTTCTTTTCCACGTATTCCACTTGTATTATTTTCTTCAACAGTTAATCTATAAAAAGTCTATACTGACTTCTCCTAGGGAGCACTCATTTTCTGTGATGTGAGTTTGCTTTTCAGGTTGCAGTTTCTGCCCTGCTGTAAATTGAAGGCTGTACATAGGATGATAGCCCAGCTGCCCTCCCTGTCACCTTCTGTGCCTGACAAACATTCTTCTTAAGAACATGAGTTCTAAATATAGCAGTCAGTTCTCTGAAACAAGTTCTTTCTTTTCCCTGCCACTTCTACCAAGAAAGAGTTGTCATGGCTGCTAAACATAAATAAGACAGTGGAAAGTTGTCTACTGTTGCTACTAAGCTGGAGGGGACCAATGAATTTGGCTGGATGTGCTGTAGAATAAGAAGATTCCCTCAAAAGGGTAACTCTCTCTTAGAGTGAGTCAATCAGAGTTTTCTCTCGCCCCAGCATCAAGCTGGTTTGTGGTTACTGCATTAGAAAGAACATCCTGGTTCTACTGTAGGTAGGAAAAGAGAAGCAGGAGTTAAAATCCAAGGAGATTAGAATACCCTCAATAATTTGCTTTTAGCAAAACTGACTTAAATAGCACAGACTCTTGAAAAAGTTATTGTCTCCTAGTTTAAGCATTCCATAGAATATGCGGGAAGCAGGAAAGATGGCCAGTTGTCCGTGCTTAGTTTCATTTCATGCTGCTGCCCCATTGTAATACACACAGAGCAGTTCAGGAAGGCTGAGAACAGAGCAGAGTCCCTTTATTGATCTGTTTCTCATAAATCTACACCATAGTAGGAAGAGTTCTTTCTGTTTTGGAATTACTTGTAATTCACTCAGTAAATCCTTAGATATTTTTGGGTTTCTTGTACTAGGAGGCTCATATGCTAGACTGTAACAGACCTTACTAAATTCATATTTATTTTTGTGTTTCAGCAATGTCAAGCAACAGTAGGTCAATCTATATGGTTGTAATTCTTTCAGAAGAGAATGATCTTTTAGAAATCACTTGAGACTAAAACAGTAGAAATATGCTGCACAAAAGTATGGATGCATTTATATAAACTATGGAAAGGTTAATCTAAACCTAAACGGACTTCTTTCCATAAAGATACTGTCCTTGTCTGTGAGAAAGTGTTTGATTTTTATCTTGACTAAACGTTATTAACCATTTCTAATGGGTAATAGCTACTGAATCAATGGCCAGAAGGAAAACACATTATTTCTCTGAATAGCTCTAAGTATCTTGTTTAGGATTTATCAGTGAAGAGTGGTTTGCTGAAATGTTGAAATAAGGGGGAAGCAGTTGCTTCCAGCTCTACCGAAAACTGTGTAGTAATCCATTACACCAAAAAGGCTATTCACCTTCACTGAATTTAAAAAATGCAGTCAAAAGAATTTCAGGAAGCCTGGATTTCTTTTCAAACTAGTGAAAAAGTTTTTAACAAAAATAGAAAATATCTGTGCTTTAAAGGACCTGTTGATTATCTGAGAAGTTGGATTTGGCAACATAATGGAGAGATATATTGGTCCTGTAAGAAAGAATTTGGAAAAATGTTTTTACTCCTGCTTGTCCTTTATGGTGCTATCTAATAACAAGGAGTATCTTAGAAAGTGCTTTTAGAAATCCTTAATTATATACAATGTGTTTGTCAGAGGTTGTGGTGTTGAGTGTTGAAGCAAAAGTCTAGTTTTGCAAAGTAAGTATTTTTAAATTTTAAAATATTTTTAGGTTAATACGTTCTTGTGTTTATAGTTAGAAATCAGTAGTATTCTGGCAGAATTGGAACAATAAGTCTCTTTTGGTGTGATATGGAATCACTAGTTGGCATAGGAAGCCACAAGATCCATGTAGAATTACCAGGACACTTTTTTGTTAACATATTTTGACTTTTCAGTTTCTTAAAGGCATCAGCTTTGTTAATTCTATACATTGCTTTATCTGCATTACTCTTCATGATGAAAAAAAGTGATGGTTTCCTTGAGTACAGAAAAGTCAAATTGGTAAATTCTTTTTTTTTTTGTACCTCTGTTAAATAACTTACCTAGGTTATAAATTGGATAGGAAAGATAATATCAGTGATTTAGTACTTATGTAGTTATTCTGACATTTAATTTGAGATTTTTGCTGACAGTGTGGAGCTATAGTGCTGCTTGGAGAAAGTCTTAAGGAAGATGATGATGTGTATTTAATTTCTAGATCATCTTGATAATTTTTACTGAATTCCAAACTGTATTTCAATCTAAAAAGGAAAAATTAAGAAGTATGATTTTCTTCCTTATAAAGGGGAACGGCCGTTTCAGTGTACACTGTGTGAAAAGGCATTTAACCAGAAGAGTGCTCTTAAAGTCCACATGAAAAGGCACACAGGAGAGAGACCTTATAAATGTGACTACTGTGCAATGGGATTTACACAGAAGAGCAATATGAAACTGCATATGAAACGGGCTCATGGTTACACTGGTATGTAGCATGGTGGTAGTACTGCTGAGGTCAGGAATCCATATATTTTGTTAGGAGAGCACAGAGCATTTCCCTTAAGTTACTGAGGAATCAAGCACGGATAGCCAAAGACCACAGTTGGTGAGATAGTAATTGAACATGCAACCAAAAAATCAAGTAGAAACAGCAATTTGTTGCTTTTTATGGTTCCTTGGTTTTTTTTATGTGGAGTTCTGTGTACAGAAATACAGAGTTGAAAAATTACTCCAGGAGAGCAGTTTATTGTATTAGATTAAAAAAAAACAAATTCCAAAACCATCTAATGGATTTACAGTGTCTGAAGTAATTGTATAATACTGTTCCCATCATGATTCCTTTATTCCCAAGTGCTATATTTGCCTTTTTCTTACACCATATGTCAACTCATACTCAATTGCCTTTTTCTCTTGTACTTTGGTAGGTCCTGTACAAGAGCCTGCGAGTCACCAAGAACAAGAAGGGGAAGACATTAGTCGTGCTCTGAATTTAGAAGAAGTGGTACAAGAATCTTCAAATGAATGGCAAAGTATAGGCAATGTTTTTCGGTAACACCTTGAAATTTGAAATTTAAAAATATTTCCGGGACTTGAACTTTACAGTTAAAGCTTCAAGCATTGAAGATACTAACAATAGAATAATATATTATAGTTTTTTTAACTATTTACAAAAGATACCTAAAAGATTAATTTTTTTTTTTAATCTTGTAGAAGAATATTGGGAAAACTTCAATTTAATCTGTGCTAAGTTGTCTGTGAATCAGTGAACTCAGGTAATGATGTATACAGTTTCATCTTTGAATTCACAGCCAGTATATCTATTTAAAAATAAACTGGAACTTTATATCAGAATAGAATGATTCCCATTTTTAATGGAGATGAAGAATAACTTCACAGGAAAATCATGAAACTGTCAGTCAACTTTTTTTTTAATGTGTTTAAAAAAATAATTGAGATTGGAAACAAAGTGTTGCAGTTAATGATGCATGCAGTATAAAACAGTGGAGTTTTGCCCTTTTTTTTCTTACAAGGCACAGGAAAAGGCTGTATTTCTTTTGAAAGCTTTCTTTTTTAGTGCATTTTGAGAATTTGTTATAAAAAAATAAAATACTGCAAGCTTTTCTTGAGTTAAACTCTTGAGAGGGAGCATGTTCATTTTCATTCCAACCACAGAGGCAGATAGATGTTAGTTTTTACAGTAAAAGTCTTGAGGTTTTGGACTTGGCAATAATAATTAAAGATCCAAATGAGAGAAGGTTCCAGTAAAAGCCTCTGTTGTTGTTTGCTGTACTGGGTCAGCAGGTACTGTGTATCAGTATCTGTGGAAAACAGCCATATACTAAATCTGTGAGGTAAACAAGTACCACTTTGTGGTAGCTGTGAGAAAGTTAGATGCACACTAAGTCACCTATACTACACAATGTTCCCCAGTGCTGTAAACAGTTATTACTTTGAATTTGTAAATTCCTTATTATTTTCTTTGTGGATTTTAGAAATATGTTACATTTATTTGTTGTTTAAGTCATTGTTTCAGCAAAACTACCTAGCTGACTGAGTATTGCTTTCAAAGGTGCCACTTGTTAAGTATATTCATAGCAAAGAAACACTGGAGTAAAAGCATAGTTGTCTTGTAGACATTCCAAAGACAGAAGCTGTTTTCTTATGTTTGCCTTGTTCTTTTGAATTTTATTTATATGTTACATATATATAGATATATATATATGTGTGCTTATATATGTATATATATATATATATTTAAAGTTTACGAGCCTCTGTGTGGCCAATCAGTATATTTTGTAAATACTAATCCCAGTTGCAAGGAGTTCATCTGTTTGGTTGCCACAAGTACTTCTAGATCAGTGGTGGATATGTTGTACTATAATACAGACTTGGACTTTAATTTTCTTTCTAAAAGATAATTGTTCTCAGATCCAAAAAGCCCTTTTCTGTAAATATTGTCTATATTCTGTCTGTGAACAAATTAGTTATTTCAGATTGCTGAAGCAAGAAATACTGTTGGTTTTGATCGGGCATCTCTTAATTCTTTTGTTAACTGTTCAGCATATGTATATAAGTAATATAGTTGGTGACATGGAAATAACACTTTTGTTATGTGGAATATTTAATTGAAAAACATGCTAAATAATATTACTTTTTTCCAAATTCTGTTTCGTGTATTTTTTAAGCATACGATTCTGCATTCTAGGAGATTGGAAAAACTGTTTACAGAAATGCATGTTTGACTATTAGATGTGAAGAATAAAGTTCTCCCAGCAGTGCCTTCCCTTCCAGGCAGCCTGTGAATGTTTCAGCTGTTAAAGAAAGACATTATATTTTGCACCTGTCTGACCTCTTGGATAGCACACTGTTTATCTGTAATAATACAGAAAATGTGCTGTGATGCGTGTACCATGTATGAAATTTTCTCCCTGTTATTTCAGGGAATACTGTATAAATGCACAGAGGACTTGGAACTAGGTGCTCTTGCACCCCAGACCACTTAATGATTCTGTGATACTTGGTACACACAGCCTAAAAGCTGATCTCATTAGTAAAAAGATGGTATTTTTAAAGGGTCACTTCTCAAAGTGTTATACTTTGGTTAGAGGCAATGAATCTGTTCAGCAAGCCTTGGAAGTGTTAAATAAACAGTGTGAGTTATGGAGTCAGCTGGCATTTTTCCTGAGTTCAGTTTGCTACTCCTACAGCACTTGGAATCCTGTCAGCTACAGTAATAGACTTCTAAAAAATTTCTTATTAATGTTGTATTTGATTTGCTTCCCTGCATCCTCTTCACCCGTGAATTTCAAGTGTCTTGACAGAGGTTCTTATAACCTTCGTAAGATTGAGTTGGAGCTTTTCAGAGCAGTGCATGTGTTGATGTTCAGAACAAATACAGACACGGTAACCAGTATGTTGATATTTTCAAAAGCGGTGTTAAAGCAGATGCATTATGTAAGGAAGCAGAAGAACTCTTGTTCTGAGGACTGCTTGATGTGTCACATTGTATAGTGGGTAAGTGGACACTGTTCTTTCTGGCTTGTCTCTGCTCACAGTTTCTTTTGGTTTGTGTCCATTCGTTGAGAACATTAAATTACACACTCCTGGTATCGGCTGTGCATTCTTGTTTCAAGAAAAATCCTTTGCTTAAAAATCAAATGGCCATTTAAACTGCTGGTTTTCCTCAAAACTACTAGTGTGTAACTAAAAGAACAAATTTCAGGCTAAGTTTATCTCTTTTTGTATTGGGAAAACAATGTTTTCAAGTACTGTACCTATTCCTCTAGAGGAAGTAAATCAAAAAAAGTCACTTTGACCCTCTGGCAAAGATTACTGAGGGGAAAGGAGAGTGATGAAGGCAAGGAAGAGGTTTTGGTTAAATTCTGTTAATCTATAATGCAGTATTTTGAAAGATGTATTTCTCTAGGTTTTTTACTTTAAATAATCTTTCACATTTTTGAGGGCTGTTTGTACCACAATTGTTCATGAAGGGGGCTGGTTTTTATTTCCTGCTCATAGACATTTTATGCCGTGTAATATACCTCTGGTCTGTAGCTGTCACTCCACAGACACTGGGATTCCATAATTCTTGTGTCCTATTGTCAACCTTCTGGGCCATGCAATGGCACTAGAAGCCTGTGTGCAGGGTCCCAGGGTGTCATTGTGTTATTTTCTAGTATCTGAACATTACTCATAAACTCTAGAGGATGGTAGGAGGGGAACAAATCAGACTTAAATATATATGTATATATAACTATATATATATATATATCCTTTTCCTTTGTAAAAAACAAAACTGGCCCAAGTTTCATTTCAAGTGATTACTTTATTTCAATAGTGACTATTTTTAAAAGCTGTGTTCCTGTAAGAACAATACGTGTTCCAATTAAATCAACTATTACGTTGCAGAGTATACATCTGAATGAAGCTACAATAGAAAAATGCACATAGCAACCAACAAAGATAATAGATGTAATAGTGTGTGTATACGTAATAATTTTGGCATTTTGTTTTCTTTAGTCTCTATGTATTTTCTATCATCTCATCTTCTCTTGTTTCATATTAATGGACACTGATTTAAACCTACAATAGATTTAGATGTGAAATGTAAATAACATATATTTATAGGTAACTTTTACTGGGCACTTATTAGGAATGCTGTTTCAACCTAGGAAGCACTAACTGTAATCTACAGTGCATAGGCTAAAACTAAAAAAAAAAAAAAAAATTAATCAGACACTTATATGACAGTTTGAAGAAATTGTAAGTTTAAGCAATAAAACAGTGCAATTCAGAAGAGCCTTTTATTTCCCTAAGTGTGGTTGAAAATACCATCTCCACACATTCATTTTAGTAATTTGTGAACAATTCATATCTAAATCTAACTGAACTATAACTTATTTCTACGAGGCAACTACAATACAACAGTTAAATGTTCACAGTAGTTTACTATGAGTTTACTTTGGTGCACTGCCCTTAGTAGGCATTCAGGTCTTACTCAGGCACAAGATGAGCCAATCAAATACAACACTGCTGCAATACCAAGAGAAAGATTTGAAATTCTAATGTGAGATGTGCAGGACTATCTGAGATACCAGTACTGATGGGCTTTCTTTCAGAAATTAGACTTTTTTTGTTTATGTGCTTATTTTCTTATTTTACTGCAAAGTTAATGCTATTGCAGCAGAGTTTATGTGAAGCACCAGTGACGTCCAGTGGTCATGGGTGCAGTCTTAGATGTTTCTCTGGGAATATCCCTTATTTTGTAACTTTAGTCTAACTCAAATTTGAAATCCTCTTTCTCTCCCTCATCTACTCTTTATTCTAATGGTTTGGATGCAATGAGCAAATCATAGTATGGAAAGAATTTCCTTATTGCTATTGCTCCACATCATATTGATTCTTCAACATCTGCCCCCTCCCACACTTCACATGCCTTGAACTCCCAATGTTTGATAAACCTTTCCATGACTGCCTAATCCTGTTATGAAAATAAATTATTCTGTGAGTGAGAGAAGGAAGATTAAAACAAAACAAAAGGAAAAAAAAAAACAAACCAAAAAGAAAATTTGGATAAACAGTCCTTACAACTTCTGCACATGTTGGATTTTTTTTTTTTTAACAGCAGTGTCTCAAAAATTCATTAACAGCAGTGCTCAGTATCGAAGACATTATAGCTCTTTATTTGTAATTCTGATGTTCACTAAAAGTAAACCAGAAGGGTTGAGCTTAAATTAGGTGCTTGGGAGAAATAAAGGAATCCAGCATACAGTTAGGGCATCCTGAAGAAGAATGGGTAAAGTCAGAGATCTTGTTACTTCACATAAAATAAGGGAAACATCTAGCAAAGCTACTTTTTGTGTTCCTTTCATTCAACTGTTGCTCAGGGATTGCCAATAGAAGTTTGTATCATCTACTGCATGCAGAACCTAATTGGCATTAAGTAATGGATTGCATCTATCTAGGTAATTGTGGCAGCTGTTACTAATTTTAAGGCAGTTATATTATGAAGCAGAGTACATGATCCTTGGATGGCATCTTGGAGCTTCAACGCCTAGCAATGGGGGAACCAGACCGCGATCCAGGTCGGGACCCAGAGCCTCCCTGTGGAGGGAGAACAGAGTTGCATTAATTAGAAATTAATATATATTTGGGGCTCTGCATTGAAGAACATCAACCTGTTGTAAGTATGACAAAATTTAAAATACTATCTAATGAAAATAGCCTGCAGTTTCCCTCTAGTATGTCACTAAATATTACTGGGATTTTTCGCTTCAGAAAGATTTCTTTTCATTGATTTTCACATAGGATTAACTTACTGCCATTTAATCTTCCATAGAGGACTAGACAGTGTCTCATTAATAACTTTTAAGTACATGTTCTTATTCAGGCATTCCTAACAAAAACGATTTATTTCCTTGGACAGGATGGAAAATTTCATTTTTATGAACCCTGTACTGTGTGTATACTTTAAAACAAGGCGCAAGACAAAATCTCCAAACCTTGCATATGAGATGTAATAGTTTCACATCTGAAAGAACTGAAATTTAATAGTTTTATTCTCCAGTAAATTCTCAGTGTTATATCAACATGAGGCTTATAGGGAAAGCTCAGATGCAGGTACAGGAGAAAGCTAAGAAAATATAAAAGGGCTAAAATCTGCCCTATTCTTAGAAATAATAAGGGAGTGTCAAACTCTGAGGAAAAAACTGTGACAGTTCATAAATCTGCACTTGAGAAAAGAAGCAGTTTTAGAGCAAAGATGATTCAAGCTGAAATTCTGACATTTAATTTTTTGGAATTTGAGATTAGACTAACTTGGTATCCTCTTCCTTAGATTTAGCAACTCTTCTATAGGCAGATCTTGAAAAATGCACTTAAGACCACAAATGTGAGATGGCGTGGTAATTTTTACTATAATTAGGTGATGACTGAACTGTTTACTTAAAAAAAACCCACATGTATACTTTGAGACTTCATTTTCTTAATTTATGTTTTTCTCATCTTTTAATGCTGCCTCCTTAGTTTTACAGTACTGTTACAGGAAAATTCAGTCTAATTCATTAGGTAATTGGGTTTTTTTCTTTCAAAGATATCTGAAAGAATGGATAACTTTTTTATATTACAAGATTGTTGACCTATATAAAGAAACAGTTTACATGCCTGCTGCTGTAAACATTAGGTTTAAATCAAATAGGCATGAATAAAACTCATATCAAAGTTCCAGAAATTATAATGCCTGGGAGAAGGTTATCTAAAAAATACATAGTGGTGTATGTATGTCTCAGCTATATATATATAAAATTCTAAGCTAGAATAGCCATGATGAATATGCAAAAAACCAGGGAATGTTAAATTTCATGAGAGATCATTAATGTGTATTTTCAGATGTTGAAATGATGAAATTTTGCAAATAATGAGTGTATATAGCCATGGAATAGTTCATGTATCTGAACCTCACTTAAACTACCAAGTGCACAACATGAAAATAAGACTTAAAATTTGTTTGATTTTTACTCTGAAGAGATCATTCCTTTTCTTAAATTGCAACATAAGAATTCCTACTACTTCCTTGAAGTTTTTGTGCTGCCACTTCCTGCTGCAGATATTTGGAAAACAACTGTATAAGGGGAGATATAAAACCTAAACTGTTTAAGAGACAAAAATGTGATTTTTTGCTGCAAATGAAGGCACTGTTACATCTCCTGTTGAGGAGAGGAATAGTAAGAGTCTGAAATTAACAGCTCTGCTAATGATCTCAGGCCTTCTGACTTGAAGTTAAGATGACTGCTGATGGCATCTTCATGTTCTAATAATGTACTGGGTGATTTGTTATGAGTGAATTCCCTGGCAACATTGCCTTTGAGGGAAGATACAGTCTTCAATAAAGTATCTGCCAGTGGATATAGTCTGCTTTCCATGTGTCTGTTTCCTGACACAGAATGTGGAAAATCCGCACAACTGACCTTTTTTCCTGTTCTGTTTTCATTTATTGCCTGTGTTTAGGTGGCTGTGCTGTGCTTTGAAATGGGGAATTGAACCAGACTAAAGATAATCTGACCAAATGTTTGTTTCTAATATGACAGTGTTGTAATATGCCCCACATTGTGGTTTCATAACTTTTAATACTGGCATATTATAGGAGTTCTCCCACCTGGGGTGGGAACAAGCAGGGACTGCTGGAGTTGTTACTGCATCTAAATATGTGTCCAGCACTACCCTTCTGCAGTTTCAGTTCTCTTTCATTTTCACTCTCCTAAATAATTCAGCAGCAGTGAGCTGTCATCTCATTTTTCTTCAGTATTTCAGATCATTTTTGCATTCAGTAACAACACTAGTCCTGGTCCAGGTCTTTGTGGGACATTGTTGACTTACCTTCATTCCTCATGGCCACTAACTGTGTATTTTTATCTTTGTTTCCTATCATATAAGTAGTCCCTAAGCCACAAAATAACCTTCTGGTTTATCCATGCAAGTCTAATTCTGTCAGAAGCTTTAAGGAAATACGGTTGTTTCAAACATGGCAGGTTCTGGAGAGGTTTGGCTTCTCTTTTTCCCAGGTCATTTTTTTTGTACTTAAAGTTCAATTGTACTTTACCAGTTTAAAGATTCTGGAAAGAGTGCCCTGGCCCTCATGATAGGATCCCTTGTGTCCCTTATGAGCAGATTTATGCTCATAGAATTTTCCGCTTCCATATCCTGGCTTGTGTGTTTCACCACCCTGCAAAGAAAGATTGTCATGTATATTGCAAATTATCACATTCAAATTATCATATGCACATGGTAGTTTTTATTTGTGATCACTGAAATGTAATAATCAAATGAGGAATTTGGAGGTTGTTGCAATAAAGCAATCTTTTATGTAATAAACAAAGATGAAGGAAAATGTTAGGAAATTATCTGAATAAATTCAAATCTGAGAGAAGCATCAATCTGTAAAAAATGAAGGTTAACCTGTGTGAAAAAACTTTAAATGTTTAAATTTCATGAGTTCTAAGATGTCAAACACATCAGCTAATATGTGGTGTTCTGATAGTGAAAGAAATGCTTAATGGCTTGAAGGCTTTGATATTTTGTCTTAAAATGCCAGTAATTTACATGCCATCTCATATAAAATCAAACCTGTGGTAGAGAAGTAGAATTTAATTAGTTGTGAGAGAACTGTGGGAAGAACTTGTCTAGGAATTGCTTAGGCATATCTGACAGGAAAGGTGGAACAAAATACTGAGGTTAGTGACAGCATTAGTTTTGCAGACTGTGTAAAAGCAGTTGCAAAAGTGGAATAAGCACCTATCTTGTCCCAGCCTTCCCTCCCATTTTGTCCATCCCAGGAGAAGAAAAATGCACCAGATGGGTCTTCCAGAAACCTTTAAAGGAAGAGAGCTTTGCCATGCAGTGGGTTTTGCTCCCTTTGTGCTGAAGCAAAAGAAATTATTGCTGCAAGGGCTGTCAAATTGCAGGATAAGAGCAAGCAACACAATTTTCATCTTAAAAGTGCTGTGGAAGGAGGAAGGAAAGTGGAACAGGAAAAGCAAAATGGCAAACTTGAGACAAAACAAAATAATCACATTGCTGCAGCAGCTTGAGGCAATGGAGTAAAAGATGCTTTGGCCTGGTAAATAAAAGGGCTGTTACCAAAAGCACGTTTGTCACCTACCCAGCTAAATCTGGTGAGGGATAATCCTCTTCCCTGTACATGCAAGAAATAGAAATAATGACATGGTGATCACTATGGAACACAGCATCTGGGTCTGCCATACACAGAAGAAGATGAAAAGATAGCCAAGATTATGAAATAATGGCCAGATAACAAGGCAGGCAGGAGTTGAGAACAACAGTCCTGTGCCATCATTTCATGAAGCAAAAAACGGCAAAATTGTTCATTGTAATTACCGGAACTGACTTTACTAGCCATGGTTTGTCAGTATTACATACTTCGAAAACCAGCTGAGTTCAGTAAATGGAAGGGACAGCTCCTTGTTGCTGAGGCTTGCTTGAAAGCATTACCTATTGTTAGTTCATTACATAAAGCAATCACACCATAAATTGAATATAAAAATCCCTGCAAATGGCTTCAATTAGTCATGCACAAAGTCAGGAAGTGTGTGAGGAAGAGAACCATGGCTTCTATGCCTTAGGCTCTTGCTTTCAATTGTTCCCTGTGATACCTGTAGACATTCACTTAGTGCCATTAGGGACAGTGAATCAGGCTTGGAGTTGAAGTAGTGGGAAGTAGCCCATAAATGCCTTGAGTCCCTGAAACTGCTTACCTTTGCTTGCATTGGGGGTGGTGTACGGGGTGAGACCTAAAAACCAACACAAAAGAGTTGTCAAACAAAGGCAAAAATAAATGCCAGAAATCATCAGGCCTTTTGCACATTATCCATGAGCTAAAAATGGTAATTGCATTTAGAAGCTCCTCTGCTATCTTAGGCTTGCCTGGAATCCACTGGATTTCTGTCCATCTTGAAACAGTAATAATTCCTGAATACTGACAGTGTTAAAGACACAAGGACAAAACCTGTCTATGGTGAAGCTGTATAACTGACATG